GCGTTTACTTGGGGAGGGGGTGACCTGTTTCCACAGGCCCTCACTCAGGCGGCCGCCCGACCACCACACAAAGGAGGGGGGAGGGCAATTCCCCTCCCTCCACACTCCCACACTTTCACCAGACATTCATTCAGACTTTAAACAATCCATTCAATTCCTAACAACTTCCCAACTCCTGAGGGAGCTCTAAAGCCTCCCCCAATCTCCTTGAAATGATCAATCACAATACCCAAAGGAGCAGTCTGAGTCCATCCCATAACATCCGTCCAGTACAAACACAGAACACTAAACAGGGCCCGAAAATACAGGCTTCCAACTCCATGGAAGCAACTAGACGTTGGCCTTACGCCAAACCGGCAGGAGCGACCTGCCTTGTCTCAAATCCGCGAGGGGTATATCCATCCCTCGTGAGGGGCATATCCATCCCTCCTGGGGTGAGGGGCATATCCATCCCTCCTGGGGAGCGGAACGTCTTCCAACTCTCCCCCACCTGTGGTCGTTCACGGCGCGTCCGCCTAGACCCCTCAGGCAATTACAGATTCCAGAAACGAGCTCACACTGAACAGAACATACAACGACACACACATACTGCGGTCAGTCAGACTCTTCAGATCGGGGGTCCCTCGATGGTCTTGGGAATCCCGGACGAGCCCCCAAATGTTGTGCCCAGATTTCATGATTCCCAAGAACCCACAGGGAGCCAGCGAGTCCGATGCAAAAGCAAAGAGTCATTCATTTCAAACCTAGGTTTGGCTCCCCTGCCACACTCACCGATGCAACGGTAAGCTCCAGTGGCCGAGAGAGAGAGAACTCTGTGTGGAGAGAGGTTTTATAGGGGTTTGGGGTAAGGGGAGGAGAAAGGACTGTGGGCCCTGCTGATTGGCCAGGCGTGAGTACACAGGATGTGGTCATAGTGATGGCGTGCACTTCCCTTGACTATCTTCTGGGAAGAAGCTTGCTGAGCACATGGCCAAGTTAAGATGAAGGGCATAGCCCTTACCCTGGGGCAAGGTGGAGGGCGTAGCTCTTACCCTGGGGTAAGGTGGAGGGCGTAGCCCTTACCCTGGGGCAAGGTGGAGGGCGTAGCCCTTACCCTGGGGCAAGGTGGAGGGCGTACTCCTCGCCCTTTCATACCTGATAAGGATCATTTATGGCATCATGTTAGAGGCTGAATATTCTACAGAATATTCCAAGCTGGCTATTGGATTAACTACCTAGGAGACCAGTGTGGACGAAAGGGGCCACATGCTAACCTGGCAAGCTCAGGGAAGGCCTGCATGGCAGACTTGCAAACTCAGAAACCTGAAGTAACCACAAACGATGGTCTGAAATTAAACTTTAAGTAAAAGCAGTTATGGTGGGTATTTACATCCTAGGCCAGTACCTTCACTGACAAGGTCAACCTTTACCTTAACTGAGTCTATCTGTCTTTTTGCATATATTGTAACATATCCTTGAAATGTCAGGGTAACTTGTAACTTCCCTTTTTCCGGACCCCTTGGGGCACAACCTAATGTGCCTGGGCTCCAAGACAAATACTATAAATTCCTTTGTTGTTATCATGTTAACTAGCAGCCCGGTGCATGTGCAATTGACACCAGCGAGAGCTTTATATGTATCATGCAATGCACGAGTCAACTTAGCCTTTTATATATATAGAATAAACTTGCTTAATTAGACCTGCTTTCAGATGTAGCTAAACTTTTTCCAGCCCAGTGAAGCACCCCAACTTCTCTTTCAGGTAATTGTCAGCAACACAGCAGTAAATATCAACATGAAACACATTATTATTGTAGATCACACAGGGAGAACAAAGGGTAAAATATTTAACGGTAGCAGTGTTTGATTATATTCTGCCCAGTGAGAAAACCTGAAGTCATTTTCAAGGTCCACCATTTTTTATTTCCTTCCAGTTGGGTCAAGTTTCTAAACTTTCTAAATCTCTGTTTTCTGGCTAATGAAAAGAAAATAGAATTGTACCAAGTCTCCTATCTACCTACTCCAGGACTTCTGTGAGGACCAAATGAGATGAGGCATGGGAAAATGCTTCACAGACATTTGGTTAAAGTGTAAATGTTTCCACCTGGCTATAAAGCAGGTCAGGTTCCTGGGCTGAAGAAACTCCAAGGAGGCTAGTCATTGCTAGGGAGAGGAGGAAGCCAGGTATTGCTACGTGACGTCATTACCAAGCACCCATAGCCACCATTTCCAGGCTGGGCTGGGCTGTGGGCCTCATTTTGTGCCTTGGGGTTTTGGCAGCACTGGCTGCGATTTGGTGGGGTGTCGCTCTGGGGTGGAAGTGGGCCCTGTGTCCCACTTGGGGGAAGCCAGGTGTTGCTTTGTCAGCACCAGGTCTGTGGTGCTGGTTCTTTGTAAATGACCAGTGTGTCTCACGGCAGCTCCTGCGATGAGCGTCTGTCCCCTGGTGGTCAGTGAGCATCATGCTCATCATAGCAACCAGTTAAACAGTCGGAGGGACACTTAGCATATTAGCCTTTGTGTATATAGATTGTTCCTGCACCCACCTAAGTATGTGCCTATCGTTTTACTTTTTATCCAATCCCAGAGGTTCCCCTGCCCCGCTTTGCTTTCTCCTGTCTCTCTAGTCTATTACCAATGGATTTCATGTAACCCACCTACATCCCTCCTTTGATTGTAATGCATGAAAATAGAGAAAAACCTGCCATTCTCCAGAGCATTACCTCAATCTGTTGAGGTGCTGCTTCCCAGCAATTGTTGACAGTTTGGCTCAAATAAACTCACAAAAATTCTTTATAGGTTTGAAGGTTTTTACGTTAACACCAGGATAAGGACGATGTGCCCACCTAACCTGGCAAGTTATTTCAGGATCACTTTAAACTTAAATCTCTTAACCTGTTTAAATCTCAATTTCTTAATTTGTAAAATGGGAATAATCGTTGTCTCTCTGGGATATTGATGTTTAAATTAGGTAAATGTATAATTAGCCCTATTTTCTTTAGGGAAAAAAAGCACTTTAAGAATTCTAAAGTGTGGAAGGAAGACAAACCAAAGGATAAGAATCCTATATAATAAAAGCCTAATATGCTAAGTGTCTGACTGTTCATTCGACAATTTGACCAGTCGCTATGATGAGCACTGACCACCAGAGGGCAGATGCTCTGACCAGTAGGTTAGCTTGCTGCTGGGGTCCAGCCGATTGGGACTGGGTGAGATGGACCGGACACGCCCTGGAGCCCTCCCTGGGTCCCTCCCTGGCCCTGATTGTGCACCAGTGGAATCCTCAGGCCTGGCCTGCACCCTCTCGAAATCTGGGACCCCTTGGGGGATGTTGGAGAGCCAGTTTCAGCCTGATCCCCACAGGCCAGGCTGAGGGACCCTACCGGTGCATAAATCCATGCACTGGGCCTCTATGAATAAAATGGTCAATAGACATGTGTGTGATATGATATGCTGGAGGACACAGTCAATTTAGACTCCATGAAGGAAGTAGCATCTGAACTAGACCTATACATTCTAATTCTATGAGCAAAAAGTTCCTTTGGGGACATTATTTCATTTGAACCTCACAATGACCCTGTGAGACAGATTGGGATTAGCAACCTCACCTTATGGATGTGGAACTTGATCTTCAAGGTGTTTAAACAATTTGCTTAAACAACACAGCTGGTAGGTGGCAGGGCTTAGGCGTCAACCCACATATGCTGCCCCTGAATTCAAAGGGAAGTAAATTCCAGCTGTCCTCAAGCCCAGTCCCAGAGCCAAATCTTCCAGAAAGTCTTCCTTGAATCCTTAAGGTATTTTCCCTCCTATTAAACCTCAGAGCATTTTAGACTTCACTTTGGATACCAAATCACTTTCTACCTTGCATTATGATAATTAAGGTATGGATTCTCCTTATACTAGACTGCTGGCTTCCTTGGAACGGGATCTGACTCCTGATTTAGTGTAGCGATTTGCATAGAGTGGATACTATACATACTTTGAGTTATGTCAATACTGCCATCATTCTTTCTGATACACAGGTCATTTCGGACCCTTTATTTCCCCCGTCACACCTATCTAATTAGGCACCAAGACTTGTCTGTTTTTCATAATTTGTTTTTAAGTTCTATTGCCTATAATCTTGAATACAAGACTTAACTATTTAAAAAAATTTTTTTTATTTATTTCATAAAAGAAGGGAGAGGGTGAGGGAGAGGGAGAGATAGAAACATCAATGTTGAGAGAGAATCATTGATCGGCTATGCCCCCTACCAAGGATACAGCCCACAACCCAGGCATGTGCCCTGACCAGGAATCAAAATGTGACCTCCTGGTTCATAGGTCGACGCTAAACTAATGAGCCACACCAGCTGGACCAAGACTCAACTATATTATGTCTAGTTTTTAACTGATCATCAAATCTCCAGAGCCTCCCCAATTTATCCTCCAAATTATTGCCCATTCATCTCAATTCTCTTATGTCTTCTGCTTTTAAATCTTTAATTGTTCCCCTTTGCTTATATGACATTTAACACAAAGCCTTCCAGCCTCTGGCCTTAATTTACCTCCTAGTGTTGCTCTTAGTCTGCTCCATATGAGTTTTTTTTTTTTTTTTCATTTTAACAAAACCATTCACTGAACATGCCTTGAATATGCTTAGTTCGTTTTCATCTCTAGTCCCTTGTTCATTTCCATTATGCTTTTCTGGATATCTGCCCTCTGTCCCTCTCCCCCTACCCATCCTAATGCCATTCCATCTATGATGGTATACTTTTGCTATGAAATCTTTTACTATGAAATCTTTCCTCATAGCAACCTTTCTTTCCTTAAACTTCATCGAACTTAAGTCTACATCACTCATTTGGCACATAACATGTTGCACCACAAAGTCGTTCTCTCTCCAGGGGAAATGTAAGATCTCCAAAGTCAAAAATAATGTTGCCTGTAGCATTTAATTTCGTCCTACTCAATAAACATGTTGTTTTACTGCTTCACCATTATTCTCCCCCATTACAGAAATGCAACATAGACATGGACATTCCGATAATTGAAATGTTTTCTGTTCTCCCAGAAACATAATCTCCAAAGTTTTCTGTCCCACACACTTGAAACAGTTTCTTGTAAGCATTTTACTCATATTCAGAAGCATCTTTGGTGTACTATATTGGGACCTACTTCTTTAAACTCTGCAGCAGTGATCCACACATCTTGGAAGGCAGACAGGGATGCAAGAATAGAGCCTCCCATCCACACAGATATTTTCCGTTCTGGGGGAGCTCTGACCTGCACAGGGGTATTGGGAGGCGCCATATTTGCTATATCTTTAATGAGCCGCTTGTCTAAGTTGGGGAACAAGGTTGATCCCCCAGCAAGGATAATATTGGAGAAAAGGGAATTCCTCAGATCTTTATCGCATTTCATTATGCTGCAGAAGCACATCTTATCAATGCCCATCGTCTCGAGGTTCATGAGAGAGGGACAAAAGAGGGCCTCTGGACATTTAAAGAGCTGGTCGTAGAGCTTGATCACCTTCCCGTCAGGTAGCTGGTAAACTTTCTCCATACTACTACATTTCTTGGCCATTTCCTCTTCATAGTTCATGGCCACGTAACAAGAGGTTTCCTTAATTTCTGTGACAATCCTTCTGTCGGTAGCACTGAGCAGTATGATGCCATGGTCCTTCAACAGACTCATGAGGTAGTTGGTGAGGTCAAAGCCAGCCAGATGTAGCTGCTGGACACCATGAGGCAGACAGTAACCTTCAAAAATGGGCACACACTGAGTCACCCCAGCCCCTGAGTTCATCACAAAGCCAGTGGTGAAGCCAGCAGCAAAGAGAGCCAGCACCCCCTGGATGGACATATAGAAGGCAGGAACCCCCAGATGCTCAAAAACTATTTCAGTGATCTGTTGCCGGTTGGCGAGTGGGTTCAGTGCTGGCTCAGTAATCAAAACCGGGTGATCGCAGGGCTTTAGCTTCAGGCTCTGGTCATAGATATGCTTCCACATGATCTCCATGTCCCCCCAGGAAGTAATGAGACCACGCTCCACTGGGTAGCTGTAGAAAGAACAATAGCATCAATGGCAGTGTCTACCCTTCCAACCTGGGTTAATTCCCGTATTTATCACTAGGATCCCTTTATGGCCAGTGACTGCCAGGGTTTCTCAGAGAAGGTAACTACCAGCAAAAGGAGAACAACTACTTTCCTCTGCAATTTCTGTTGCTTTCCATTCCCCACATCCACTTGGGAAAACCCCCTTGTGAGTTACAAAAGTTGGGGGGAAGGGGATGTTCACATAACAGTACAATTTTATTACCAATTAATTTGAAACAACCACCCAACTGACAAAGGTACCATGAATTAAGTAACATGCTTAAGTGAACTTGCATTTTATGAGTGCAGCTTAAATTTATTTATTTATTTATTTATTTATTTATTTATTTATTTATTTATTGTTTTGTATTTTTGGAGATGGTGTGTTGGGAGGAGGGCAGGGAGTTGAGGGTAGGGGAGTGTTGGGAGGTGGGAGGCATGGGGGTGGAGGAGGTAAGGGTGAAGGAGTGGTCTGGATTCGAGTGCAACTTAAATTTATATGTTTGCGTACATTTGTACAGATCCAGAGAGCAAGTAATATTCACTCATTAGATGCTTCGTATCCTGGGAGGGCTGTGGCCCATGCATTTCCAATAAGGCCGGCGAGCTGCGGCTCTCCTGGCTTCCTCACCTTTTCTCTCACCCACCCTCTGAGCACCTCATCTGGGCTCTCCCTCCTCCCCCTCTCCGCGGGTCCTGCCCTCCGGGAGAAGGCGGTACCTGATGAACAGCGAGCGTCTCTGGGTCTGCGCCTGGTCACCCACGCACAGCTCCTGCACGCCCTGGGCCCAGCTCTGGCCTTTGACACGGCCGATAATGTTGGGGTACATAAACTGCGGCTCCCGGGACCCAGCCAGGCCCGCCTTGATCACTCCCGAGCCGTTGTCGATCACCACCGGTAGCTGGTAGCTGCTCATGCTGCCCGCGCCGCCACCGCCTCGGGTCTCCTGGCCGGCGCCGCGATCCTGGCTGCGGCCCGGGGCCAGGAGGACGCCAGGTGCGGGGCGCAGCCCCTGCCCTCCCTCCCAGCTCCCAGTGATGCGTGCGAGCGGAGGGCCTGGAACGCCGCGTCACAAAAGCCCCGCAAGGTCCCGCAGGGTCTGAGCAGGCACGTCCCGGACCCACAGACTCTCCGGACGCGCAGAGAGCTCCAAGTTACCGCTGTCGCCGCGGCTTCTCTCCCTCACCCCTGGAATCCCGGAACACCATGATCAGGAAAACCCCATTTTCCTCCCCGAAAATACAATCTGACCCCTTACAAGTGGTTTTCTCGAATACCTCGAATAGCTAGAAAACGTTTTCTTTCCCCAGACCATTGAATTCTAGTTAGTGTCTGTCCAGGGGCTTGGGGAAAGCTATGCGGAAAGGTAGAGAGATTAGATAGGGGAAGGTCGTCCCAGCAGGGGGGCAGGATCCCTGCTTTTGAAACCCAGACAACTCCTGAAAAGAGGAGGAGGAAAAATGCTAGGATTTAAAGCAAGCCCTGGCTGGGTAGCTCTCAGTTGGTTATAGTGTCCAACCGATACTCCAAGGTAGCGGGTTCGATTCCAGGTCCCGACACATACGAGTACAAGAATCAACCAATAAATGCATAAGTAAATGGAACAACAAATCCATGTCCCCTTCCCCTCTCTCAAGTCAATAAAAGTTTAAAGTGGGTTTTAACATACAATTTCACTCATATGTGGAATCTAATGAACAGAAAGAACTAACAAGCAAAACAGAGACAGACTCACTCATAGAGGAGCAGTCTGACAGCTGTCAGGAGGGAGCCGGGGAAGGGGTGGAGGAATTGAGCAAAAGAGAAAAGGAAAAGAAAAACGAAGTGGGTTTTAAAAACTTTTATTATTGCATGTGCCGGGGGGCAGGGGAGGCCGGGGTAAGGTCAATGGGGGGGGGGGGGGGGGAGACATATGTACTACTATTTGTAATCCTTTAAACAAAATAAAATTTAAAAAATAAAACTTCTATTATTGTTTCTATATACTGGGCAATGGTTGTGTTTCTTTTGCGTGGTTTGTAAGCACAATGCACTCAAAACCAAAATGGTAGAATCTCACAATCTCATCAGGTTATCTCCCCGGGTAATATGGAAGCTACTAGTCATTCTTATTCTGAAAAAGTCTGGATTTTTAGCCCTAAGGGTGTGTCTGTCTCTTTGCAGGGAAAGTGATAGTCCTTCAGTCATATGAAGCTCACTCGAGCTTAGAAGCATTTAAGTACCTTGCGTGCCAAAAAAGTGCATTTTGGTATCTGAGTCCCACCCCCACTTTTGCACACCTGTAAGTACGCGATCTACTAGTAAAAGCTGTGGTGTACCGAAGCAAGGGAGGAAATTCAAACGCTATTGCACGTCCCTCCACTAGGGGCTTGGAAGCGTTGCTTTCTCTCCGGCTAAATCCCTGCGTTGGGGTTTGGTGAGGGGCGCCGCTGCGGGATCCGGGACTCTGGGATCCGCGAGGACGCGCCCTTCCAGCTAAGCCCCCAAAACTCGCCTGGCACTCTCAGCAACGCCACGCTGGGAGAAGTGCATAATAAACACTTCTTTCTCATAGAAGAAAGTGTACCCAAGAGAAGGGCAACTAGCAGGTACCGCGGGGGAGAGAGAGCTTTAAAAAAAAGTGCACCAAATTCTAATTTTTGAAATAATAGCATTGTTCAACATAGTTATTTTCCTCTTTCTGGTTTTATTTTCTTCTTTCAATTAGAAGTTACATTAATCTTACTTAGTCAACTTTAAGGGTAAGCGACCCACAAATTAGAACGTCTATATCTAGGATTTTCTGAAGCCCTCCCGCCACCCCGGTTTCCGTAGTGTAGTGGTTATCACGTTCGCCTAACACGCGAAAGGTCCCCGGTTCGAAACCGGGCGGAAACAACTCTTTTATCCTAAAATTAATCTGCCTGTTTTTTCTTTAAAAACAGTAACTTGTTCACCCTTCGGAAATTCAACTTTCGGTTTGGGTATTATTTCATTTGTTTACCAAACGTTTTTATTCATGGCGTGCCATGTGCAAGAAGGGCTCCAGACTTAATTTTTCTTATTTTTTAAATTTTTATTTATTAAGGTTTTTGTGTTTTTTTTACTTCAACTCACAACCTGATTGATACCGGGAAAATAATGTAATGTACAGCCTAGCAGGGAAATCAATGTGAAAACTCTTAGCCATGTGACCTCCTGAACGCTCTATTATGTCATTGGGTTTTCCATTAATTTCCCCCAGAGATCATGCTTTATTCTTATTCTTTATACTAGTGTCATGCTTGGCACCAAGGAGAGACTCATAAATATTTCTGAATTAATAAATCATCAAAAAGTGTTCCGAAAAAAAAAAAAGTGTTCCGACAAAAAAGTGAAATAAGAAAAAAAGTATACTCAGAAAGAAAATTGTTAGGACAAGGGTCTCAAGGTCTGGGTCATTCTTACTAAACGTTACTCTTGCTAAATGTTAAAATGTAGCACAGTATTTTACATACCAACTGTAAACAGGATGAGGTCGGCAGGCACCAGATTAGATAAATGTAGCCAACTGTAAGGAAGAAATCAGTTGTGTACCTGACCAAATAGCAATGGCTAAGCCTCTCTTCTGGGAGACAGCTTTGGCCATGAATCCCCACCGCCTTTACTTGCTGCAAGTAAATAAAACTACCTTGCAACAATCACCTCTTGTTTTTTTAATACAGCACCCCAAGCAGCGAAACCCTTGAGTTTAGTAACAAAATCAAGAAAGAACCAGCCTCAACATTTTTCTTTATAAACACAATGGCTGTGGTTTTATGCACAGACTTCTTACTGAGTAGACAGACGTTATAAAAACAGTAAACAGAATCTGGTTGGGAAACTCTTCAGAGAGAAGCAACGAATTAGTTCAGTTGAGACTGCCCTTTAAAAATAAAGTTGCGAGTAAATTTCCTATGGTCCCGACACAACTTTTAACAATCAAAAATGTTGAAGTTTTGGTTTCCTGAGACTTAGGATGTCTGCGGGTACTAGGAAAGAATCCACCCTAACACAACACGATTTATCTTAATGTTTCTGCGCTCCTTGTATATTATGCAAGCTGGCATGCCTTTCCTTCACCATACAAAAATCTGAATGCGACGTAAATAATTGCATTAAAATATTTTTAGCCCAGGCTCGGAACCTTTTCCGGTATAACGCCCACCTTCCTCCAATGCTGCGCATGCTCAGTGCGCCCTACATCCTTGCTCGGCTTTCGCGCGTCAGACTTTGGTGCCTGGTAAGGGCGTCGTGGAAAGTGGGCTACAGTTGGCTGATGCAAACAAAACCCAGGAGGTCCCAAGAGCTTTCGGGTATGTACACGGCAAAGGGGTCATCGGTCTCAGCTCAAAAAAAAAAAACTCCCCACGGCCGAGAGCCCAGTACACAAAGCAGTTTTTCCCGAGGAAGGAAAGGATGATGGGAGAAGACAAGCAACTACAAGCCCCAGCATGCAATGCGCACTCTGGCTGCAGGAAAGCGGCCTGCGAAGCGGCTCTGCCCGGCCGCGGCCCGAGCGCGAGACCCAGACTGTTGGCCGACCAGGCGCTGAGAATAAGAACGCAGGCGGGGCGCTCCGAGTGATCCCTGGGGTCTCCTGTCTTTGACGCTCGCTATTTTGGGGAGGGGGCCCTGGCATGTAAGGTGTCGGTGTGAAGCGGGCGGTGGACCGGCCAGTTCAGCCCCGGCTGGTGTGGGACCTCCACGGTCCTAAAGCCTCCGGGGTTGCCAAGGGGCTCCCGGACCCGGATGTGACGTCGTCGTGGAGGAAGAAGGGAAAGGCGGAGCTGGCGCGGTGACGTCCTCCCAAGATGGCGGGGAGAGAGTGAAGAAACAGTGTCCCCGGCTGGGTGGCTCTAGGTGAGTTCTGTCTTCACCCCAGTCCACTATGCCCGCTCTTTCCAGTCCCTGGGCCACTTGGTGGGGAAGGAGGGGGAGCAGGCACCTTGGGGTTCGAGCTCAAGTCGGGACGAAGTCATTAACGTGGGAAGCTTGGTCGGGGCAGCCCGCCGTTGGCCTTGGCTTCCACCTCTGCTGTGGGAGTTTGGGGGAGTGGGAGCTGGGCAGAGGGCAGGGCGGCAGACGCCGGGAGAGACGGGCTCGCTCTGGAAGCCACCTGGAGCGGGGCAGGGCGAAGGGAGGGGGCGTGGCCTCTCCCCGGATCGGGACCGAACCTTTGACAACTCTCGGTCCCGCGCGCTCTCCGCCCCCGGGGCACCGGGCTCGCGTCTCGGAGCCGCTGTGTGCACCGCGGAGGCTAACGGGCTTTGGGGTGTGGGAGCAGTTACAAGGGACTCCTACCGGTCTTTTCCGCTTCTGTCCCAAGGAATCATGTCTCACTGGTTAGTTTTCTTTTTTTTTTTCTTAACTTAGGTCCGCCTCCCGAGCTTAAAAGTTTGAAGGTTCCGCTGGTGCAAAGGCGAGAAGTTTTTTTGTGTTTTTTTTTTTAAATATATTTTATTGATTTTTTTACAGAGAGGAAGGGAGAGGGATAGAGAGTCAGAAACATCGATCAGCTGCCTCCTGCACCCCCCCCACTGGGGATGTGCCCGCAACCCAGGTACATGGCCCTGACCGGAATCGAACCCGGGACCCTTGAGTCCGCAGGCCGACGCTCTATCCGCTGAGCCAAACCCGTTGTTGGGGCGAAGGCGAGAAGTTTGTGGTGCTGCTTTTTCAGCTCGCGGTAGCTTTTCCAACCATTGTCATTTATTGACGTGTTCAAAGGACGGTGTTAGCTGGCCAAGGTGGAACAGATGGCAAGGACTCAGCCCTGAGCATTTTGACCATACCTGCTTGATAAGAATTTTCTGGTTTGGGGGGGGCGGGGGGGGGCGCGTGGAGGATAAAATGAGAACTGACTTTATTCCCGTTCATGTTAGGTCCTACGTCCCTTCTCCCCTTACCAATTGCTTGGGTGACACGTTTGAGGAAAACTTAGGATTACTGACTTGCCATTTCTTTTTGTCTTTTAGAACAAGGGTAGATAAAGTTCCACTCCGGTCTCAAGATGCAGTATTCGCACCACTGTGAGCACCTTTTGGAGAGGCTGAACAAACAGCGGGAAGCAGGTTTTCTCTGCGACTGCACCATCGTGATTGGGGAGTTCCAGTTTAAAGCTCACAGGAATGTGCTGGCCTCGTTCAGTGAGTATTTCGGTGCCATCTACAGAAGCACGTCCGAGAACAATGTCTTTCTTGACCAGAGTCAGGTCAAGGCAGATGGATTTAAGAAACTGTTGGAGTTCATATACACAGGAACTTTAAACCTTGACAGGTAAAGTACACCTTTCTTTTTTTCTTCACTTATAAAAGCGAAGGGGTAGTCTTACGAACAAAAGTAGATTTGTATTTGTTGCATTCAGTCCCTGAACTTGGAGTCTTCAAATACTGATGTGCACAATGTTGTTGTTTTCTGTGTGTTTTTGAAAGAAGTCGGTAGCACTGATTTTGATGAACAGACCACATTTTTTTAAGCACAGATGTGAATGTGATTAAAAGCCTTGCTTCTGACACATTTGATTTACTTACTCAAACAAAGCTGGCGATTTCCGATATGTAGATTTGAAGATTAAACACAGTGAATGGTTTCCCCCTGCTCTTCGGTCTTTGTGTTCCTCTGGTCTTCTCTCTCCCTCACTTTCCCCTGCCTCTGAAGTTGTCTGAGGTGAAGGAGGGTAGATTGGAGGAAGAAGGAAGAACCTCTGTGTTCATTTAATAGTTGCTCCCATTTCCAGCTATAAATAGCAGTGTGCAGGATCTCTTCCTGATCTTGATTCAGGAAAATAACTTCAATGGCAGTGACCCCTGTTATCTTTGTAAAGTTACCAATACTAATGTTTCAGTTAGGTCCAAGGTTCTCCAGGCTTAATGCTGTCACTGCACTAACAGGAGAACGGTACTGAGGACTTAACGGAGGCGCTGTATGTCTACGACAGATAATGATCTGTACAATTAGCTTAATATCAGTTAGTTTGTGGGGGGAAAGGTGGAGCCGATTAAAAGAAGGAGAATCCAGATTACTCTTGTCTTTCCTCCGTCTCTTACGTAGAAAGATTATGGGCTTTAGAATTAGATCTTGCCTGTCAGTCACTATGTCTCTTTGAGCAAGATGCAGCCTGTCTGGGCCTCAGTTTTCCCATCTCTAAAAATGAGAATGGTAATAATTACCTTGATGTTACTGCGAAGATTAAGGATTTACTTGAAGGCCTTTCTCCCAGTGAACATTAGTTTCCTTGGTTTTCTCTTCTCTACCTTCCTCTCCCACTTTAATTCTACATTTCTTGGAGAAAAATTACAAGAAAAAAAAATGGAATACCTGAAATTCTGCCACCTATTGATAACCATTAACATTTTGAAAAATATTTTTTCTTTTCCAGATGACTTTGTAGATAGAAGCATATGCACATTAAACAAAATTCTTCCCTCTCTTTTATATTGCACCTTATCATGGAAATGCATCTCTTTAAAAAGCTAGAACCATGGTGTTCGTTAATACTTTTGAAAAAGAAACATTCATACCGTTTTGGAATTATTTTTAAATGGAGTATTCATTGAGTCAGTTCCGTATGAGTTGAATAAAGGAACAGCTGTGTAATACATTAATCTGATGATAAATTATTTAAATTTATTGAGTAGTTGACTATAGAAGTGCCTCTGATTAAAAATTCAGAATATTTAATATAAAATAACCACGAAATGAGTGCATTTTGGTTGCTCTTCAATTTAGTGTTTTCCCTTTCTCAGTGAACTTTGCCAGGAAAATATCGAGTTGGTCTGAACACACTGAAGAGCATCTGACTTTGCGCTTTCATAAACAAAAGCCAGATATTCAGTCAATCTTTTTGGTACATATCTTTTCCGAGGAGCTAATTGTTTGCGCCCAGCCATAATGTAAGAGATGACTTTACCAAAAATAGAAAGTCTGTTTAACTTAGTGATTAAAAAAAACAGAATAGATAGCACTGACCAGTGTGGATCTGTTAGTTGGAGCATCAACCTATACGCCAAGAGGTGGCAGGTTCAAGTACTGGTCAGGGCACATACCCAGGTTTCGGGAGTTGACTGATGTCTGTCTGTCTGTCTCTCTCTCTCTCTCTTCCTCTCTCTCTTCCCTTCTCCCCCTCTCCCTCTCCCCCTCCCTCTCCCCTTCCTCCTTTAAATTAAGATCTAGAATGCTAGTTATTAATTTAAAAAATAAATTAAGAAAGAAAATAACATTAAACACAAAGAAAGAGAAAACAGAGTAGCAGAGAATTAAGTGAACTCAGGAGCCAGATTACCTTGGTCAAATTTTAGTTCTAACACTTATCTTGGAAAAATTATTTAATTTCCTTGGACCTTTGACCCTTCATTTGTATGTAAAATGGATATTATAATAGACTAGAGGACCAGTGCACGAATTCGTGCACGGGTGGGACCCTCTTGGTGGCCTGCAGGGATCAGGCCGAAATCTGCAGTCCCACGCCGCCTGCAGTTCCTACCTGCATTTCCTACCTGCTGCTCCCGCTTATCCCGGCCCCACTGTGCCTGCCACAGGCTCAGCGCTCGCCAGCCATGAGCCCTGCATCTGGCGCCCTACCAAGGGGAGTGGCCTGCAGGATCGGGTTGAAACCGGCTCTCCGACACCCCCTGAGGGGTCCTTGATTGCAAGAGGGCGCAGGACAGGCTGAGAGACCCCACTGGTGCATGATTGGGCCGGGGAGGGTCTGTGTTAGGGCTCCAGGGTGTGTCTGGCCTAATCAGCAATCTAACCCAGCAGCAATCTAACCTGCCAGTCGGAGCATCTGCCCCCTGGTGGTTAGTGTACATCATAATGACTGGTCTACCAGTTGACTGTCTGCCCCTGGTGGTCAGTGCACATCATAGTGAGCGGTTGAGCAACCTTAGCATATCATTAGCATATAACACTTTGATTGGTTGTTCTTTCCTTCTGCAGTTTGGTCTATTTGCATATTACCCTTTTACTATATAGGATTTCATAGGCATGTCCTGAGGATTAAATGAATTATTCATCTAAAGCATTTAGCCAGATACCTGCTATATGTAATTAAATGACTTTCAATGACAGTTCAAAAGGTGAAAGCAGATTTTCAAGCACTGTAACTTCATGCTTGGAAACAAAAGCATATCAATTATTGACATAAAAACTGTTGATTGGTTCTCTTAACTGTAATGAGATTATAGACTACCTATGAAATAGATACATAATTTGTATGAATTAAGTTTTAATGAGTGACACAATGCTAGTTCATATTGGTCTTAAAGATTACCTGACCTTGTTATCTGTTTGATGGTTCATTTTATGGAGCACTAAACATAATTATAATATGAGACCAAAGTATAAAAAATGATAAAGTAAATTTGGCTTTCATTCTAATGGTGTCTCCCATTTATTGTAATAATAGATTATGTACCAAAATCAGTAAAAATACTTAAGGAGAAACATAATGTTTTTAGAAAATGAAAATACTATATACATGGAAAAAACATTTTCTATAAAAGACAATGATTATATTTATATCTGGGGCATTTGTGCTTTATCATTGCAAATTGAGTATTAACTTGATTCCAAAGATTATTGATTATATATATATATATATGTGTGTGTGTGTGTGTGTGTGTGAGAGATAGATAGATAGATAGATAGATAGATAGATAGATATTCCAAAATTATAGCCAAGGGCCATAAGAAAAGACTAAGCTTTCTTATTTAGGGGAAAGACTTAATATGCAAACAGATTATGTTCCAAAAGTATATTTGTAGTATGTTTAGGAACTTGGGATGGATTTTCTTAGAGAATAAAATGTTCCTTAAACTGTTGACTAGGTTTCCAAACTAGCCTATAAATCTAGTTTATAATTAGCTGAAAATGAATGTGTGTATAATAAAAGACAATTTTTAAAGCTATTGCAGTGCTCAGTTTAAAGAGGAAACATAGAGGTGGCACTTGAAGGGCAAAGCATGTTTAATTAGACTATGAGAAAATGGATAGAGATTTGTAGATACTGTAGTATGTATACTTTCAGTGAACTGAGAAAGATGTATTAATAGTGCTATATTTATATTATTAGCTATAACTAAAACCCTTTTCTGGCTCACACATAATAAATAGGAAAAAGTTATTTTTTCTTGTATAATTAAATAATATTTGGGGAAAAGGCAAGTAGAAAGGTTACTTGAAGGACGTGTGTGTATGTGTGTGTCCATGTCGTCAAATAATTTTCAGTGTTAATACCAACTCAACTCTGATTTTACAGCTGAGAAAATTGAGGCACCCAAAGATACTAACTTATTGTAATTAATTCAGCTAGTAATTTCAGAGCCAGTGCTAGAGTAATCAGACCTTTCACTACGTTGTAAACTTCTGGAGAGCAGGGACTATTTCTTCATATCCCTCTTAGTACCACACATGGTGGTGCTGAGTAAAAATTGACTGGAATGATGAACAAGGTGACTTAAGTTTTTCTAGATAATTCTAATATGACAAACTTGCTAGCTAACTTGGGTTGATATCTCTCTCTCTCTCTCTCTCTTTCTCTCTCTTTCTCTCTCTCTCTCTCTCTCTCTCTCTCTCTCTCACACATACACACACACACACACACACACACACACACACAAGTAGACAGTTTACAAGGGGAGCACATTCTAAAATGTGTTTATCCAAGTGTGATGGATGGACCAGCAGCATTGGCATCACCAGAGAGTGTGTTGGAAATGCAGACACTCATGCTCTGGCCAGTTAGTTCAGTGGTTAGAGCATCAGCTCACTTACCAAAGGGTCGTGGATTCAATTTCCGGTCAAGGATGTGTGCTACCTTGGTTGCAGGTTTGATCCTCTGCTCCGCTGTGTTCGAGAGACAACCAATCAATGTGTCTTTCTCAAAAAAAAAAAAAAAAAAAAAAAGGAAATGCAGACACTCAGGCCCCACCACAGACATACTGAATCTGAATGATCCCTTGGTGGTTCACATGCATAGGAAAATTTGAAAAGCACCATTAAAGTCCCTCACAGAAGGAGGAGAGCAGAGGAAGATTAATAGAAAACAATTTTTTAAAGACTCTTCCTATTTTCAAGCCAGGGAAGTTGGTTGCTATCTGAAAAGGGCTCAGGATAAATGAGAGGAGGAAGTTACCAACAGCTACTTTTATGTTCCAGGTGTTTTTTAAAATAGGTAGAAATTTTGCCCTTGCCGGTGTGGCTCAGTTGGTTGATTGGCATCCTATGCACCGAGGTCATGGTTTGATTCCAAGGTTGCAGGCTCCGTCCCCACTAAGGGGTGTGCAGGAGGCAGCCAATTGATGTTTCTTCAGCTCCCTCTTCCTTCTCCTCTCTTTCTAAAATCAATGAAAACATTTCTAAAACAGGTAGACATTTTATTTTTCTGCAGTGGTACGTACATAGCTATGAATAACCATTATTTTTCATCTTTTTCAGTTCTGTAAAGCTGGATATTTTTGCCTAAACATTACTTGGAGTGAATGAATGAATTTTGTAGATTTATTCTTAGTTACGCCTTTCTCATATTCTGCCTCATTAGGTCTTTAAAAGACATTGAAATATATGCACAACTCTGTTTCAAAAACAGTTTTTCTTTTAAAAAAAGTTTTTCTTTGATCAGAATGTTGTCATTTAGCCTTGTTTCCTTACAGTTGGAATGTTAAAGAAATTCATCAGGCTGCTGACTATCTCAAAGTGGAAGAGGTGGTCACTAAATGTAAAATAAAGATGGAAGATTTTGCTTTTATTGCTAATCCCTCTTCTACAGAGATATCTAGTATTACTGGAAACATTGAATTGAATCAACAGACTTGTCTTCTTACTCTACGAGATTATAACAGTCGGGAGAAATCGGAAGTGTCTACAGATTTAGTTCAGGCAAATCCTAAACAAGGGGCTTTAGCAAAGAAGTCATCTCAAACTAAAAAGAAGAAGAAGGCCTTCAACTCCCAGAAAACAGGGCCGAGTAAAACAGTGCAATATCCCAGCAGCATTTTAGAGAATACATCTGTTGAATTATTCCTAGATGCAAATAAACTGTCCACACCTGTAATTGAACAGGTTGCACAGAGAAATGATAATTCAGAACTTGAGTTGACATCAGTTGTGGAAAATACTTTTCCAGCCCAAGATATTGTGCAAACTGTTACAGTGAAACGGAAACGTGGAAAATCACAGCCAAACTGTGCTCTGAAAGAACACTCTATGTCCAATATAGCCAGTGTCAAGAACTCTTATGAGCTGGAGAGCTCTGGGGAAGAGCTGGATCAGAGGTATTCCAAGGCCAAGCCAATGTGTAACACATGTGGGAAAGTGTTTTCAGAAGCCAGCAGCTTGAGAAGGCACATGAGAATACATAAAGGAGTCAAACCTTATGTTTGCCACTTGTGTGGAAAGGCATTTACCCAGTGTAACCAGCTGAAAACACATGTAAGAACTCATACAGGTAAGAATGATTTATGGGAGATATAATTGTTTGAATACTGTAACTGAAATAAAACTTTTAAAAGAGAAGGCATTAATATACAGTGTTGACTATTTGTGATTAAAATTTGATATATACTTGTATTCAATTCATAAAGGTATTTAGGATGTTAAAGTGTTGAAAATTTCTTTGTAATTGTGAGCAGGTATTTAATGGCTACTTATTTTACTGTAACTGATACTCTAGTCTTAATACATGAGCTCTTTATACTATTTTCCCTCAGAGTTAAAATAAGCATAAATTTGGGTTTAGCTTACTATTAACACAAAGATTTTAAAACTGATAAAGAGAAAAAAGTAATTACAACTCAGGCCAATTCTCAGATTTTGCTAACACATCTCACCACCTGCTTCCTAGACTTTGTCAACTTCTGAACGTTTATTAGCATTACACAATATTTCTTCCTCAGCATCTACATTTTCCTTTATTGGTACACTTAGATTTATAGTTTTTCAGATGCAATGTGTATTTCTCTCATTGATCACCTTTCACTATTATGAATTAAGAAACACTAATCTCTTTTAACTCTACTGTTGATTTCAATAAATCTGGGAGAAGAGATCCTATTTGCTTTTTTACTCCTAGCAATTTAACATTTTCTGAATACTGAAACTAGTTCTGTTGGACTCTTGAAAGTTTATGATTTAAGCAACTAAAACAGTGTTTTTTTCTAAATATAGATATTATTTATTTCTTCTTTTAGGTGAGAAGCCATACAAATGTGAATTGTGTGATAAAGGATTTGCTCAGAAATGCCAGCTAGTCTTCCATAGTCGCATGCATCATGGTGAGGAAAAACCCTATAAATGTGATGTATGCAATTTACAATTTGCAACTTCTAGCAATCTCAAGATTCATGCAAGGTAAAAAACAAAACCAAAAAACGTTTGATCTTTGAGTCTGTCACTCACCATAGTCTTATGGATTGACTGCTGTATTAGAATTCAGTACAGTTACTTCTAAATGTGGCTCCACCGTACAGTAGCCTTAGCACAGTCAAGGAATCACAAGGAAACTGTGGTGACTGGAAGGAAATAAGATCAGAATGGCATTAAGGTGTCCAGATGGTGTACAGTTTTATAGGCCATTATAAAGCTTTTATTCTTGAGATTGAGAAGTAAATGATGTGATGTTGCTCACTGTTTAAGAGGATCATTCTGGCTGCTATATTTGGAAAAGATTATAGGATTGCAAGAGTAGAAGCAAATTTACCAGTTAGGAAGCTCTAGGTAAAACCCAAGTGAGAATGATGCTGGTCAGGTAGAGGTAGCAGTGGTCAGATTCTGGATATATTTATAAATGTGAGACAAACAATTTGCTGCAGATTGGATGTGGGGCATGAAAGGAAGGAAGGGAAGTTGGGAGAAGGGGAGAGAAGAAAGGAAGAAAGATCATAGATGATGTTGACGTTTTGAGCCTGACCACCTGAAAATATGGAATTCCTTCCCATTAACTGAAATAGAGAAAATTTGTGGATAGAGGATTTTAAGCAGGAGTACAGGAGTTGTTAGAGTAGAATTCTGAACATGTTAAATTTTAGATGGCGATTAGACATCTGAATGGAGCTATACAATACAGTTGGTTATCTAAGTCTGGAATTCAGGGTTTGATTTAAAGATATAAATTTGAGAGTCATCAACATATAGATAGTATTTAAAGCCATAACACTGGATGAAGTCACCAAGAGAATGAATATGGATAGAAAAGGGATCAAAGGACTGACGTTGTGAGACACACTAGGAGTTCTGGGAGATGGACAAGAACTAGCAAAGGCGGCTAGGAGGGACCAGCCAGTATAAGAGAAAAACCAGAAGAGTGGGTTGCCCCAGAATCCAGGTGAAGAAAATTATTCCAGAGGGGAGTGATTGGCTGTCATATTGTGATCATAGGGAGATGAAGACAGAAATGGCTTGGACTTAGGAAAGTGAGAGGTCAGCAGTGAGTGTTTCTGACGAAAGCAATGTGTTAGTAGAGGCCAGTAGAGAAGAGATCAGTAGGGAAGAAATGAAAGAACAGTTGGAGACTCAAGTTTTTGATATGTGGGAGAGAAGTGGAGGAGCAAGTAAGGTCAAGGGTCTTTTTTAAGATGGGAGACATCAGTATATTTATATGCTACAGTCCGATGGGGTAGGAAAAATGGATGATGTAACATGAAGGAAAATGCAGGGGGATAGTATCTTAACTATACAAATGCATGTAGTTGGATTCAGATGAACCGTCACCCTCAGAGTTAAGAAGGAAAGCAAACTATATAGGCACAGATCTCTGTAGGTAGAGAGATGTGATAGTGGAAATTTTATGATTGCTTAAATTTTTCTCAATGGAATAGGAAGCAGAGAAATCAGCTAAGGGTGAGGATGGTGAGGAGGTGCTGAAGGTTTGAGGAAAGAGTTTTGAAGAGTGAGTGAATGGACAAGGAAAAATAATTGCCTGTGGAATTAGCGGCGCACTTGACAACCATATAAAGATTATGGCAAAACTTGTTGACCTGTCTCAGAACTGGTATTTTGATAATAACCAAACCGTTAAACCTATTGGTTTAAAGTTCATGTAATTGGTCTGTTAAGATGAAATGAACTAAAATACTATATGAAAAATGCTCCACATTGTTTTACTTATTAGCATATAACTTTATATTTATTTACTAATAGGAAGCATAGTGGAGAGAAGCCATATGTCTGTGATAGGTGTGGACAGAGATTTGCCCAAGCGAGCACATTGACCTATCATGTTCGTAGGCATACTGGAGAAAAGCCTTATGTGTGTGATACTTGTGGGAAGGCATTTGCTGTCTCTAGTTCTCTTATCACTCATTCTCGAAAACATACAGGTAAGAATTTGATGTGGAGAGCCTGTTTAAAATAATGAAAATTGTAAATAAAAGAAAAGGGAAAGCTGAGCCTTTACAAAAAGTAGATTAGACTTTGTAGTTATATATCTGTTGTGTTTGTGCTTTTTGAAGCTTTTTATGCTTATGATTTTTCAATAATTATTAGATATAAAAACTTACTTTCTAGAATAATAAATGGTGACATTTTTATCATATAACATATACATTAAAATCAGATAATTTTGACAATATATAAACTTGAATTGAGACATATTTTGTGACCTTAGAAAAACTTCTTAGCCTCTTGAAGTTTCATTTCCCTTGGATAAACCAATAGAGTGAAATTAGGGGGTAGTGGTGGGTTTGGGTAGAACATTGATTTTTATAACTTCTTAGGACTTTTCTTATACAGACATTCTAATATTTGCAAATTAAACAGATACTTTAAATGTGAAGTATCAGTTTTAAAACATCTTATTCAAAGGTTTTCATTTTTATAGGCTATATTTTTAACAGATTTTTTTCTAAATTTTATTCCTCTTTAAAAATATATTTTATTGATTTTTTTATAGAGAGGAAGGGAGAAAGAGGAATAGAGAATTAGAAACATCAATGAGAGAGAAACATCGATCAGCTGCCTCCTGCACACCTCCTATTGGGGATGTGCCCGCAACCAAAGTACGTGCCCCTGACCGGAATCAAACCTGGGACCCTCCAGTTCACAGGCTGACACTCTATCCACTGAGCCAAACCGGTCAGGGCTATTCCTCTTTAATAATGTAGTACATAGCAAGAATTGAAATATGGATTGATGAATTGACATGTTTTTAATCATATCAAAATCAAATTTCTTGCCTGATTCTAGCTACTAGAAGGACATTTGCAGAAATAAAGCTTTATTAGATCAAAAGCATCAGGTTACATGAACAGTATAACATAATTACTAATATTCATTTCAGTTGGGGATCACAGTGAAAATACCTCTAAAATACATTATAAAGAGGTTTTAATTTTAATATTTTAAAACAGCTTACTTTAGATTATTGTAATTAATATATATTATATTGGTATAGTACACCACTTCGCTATCTTTTATTTTCCATCTAGGTGAAAAACCATACATATGTGGTATTTGTGGGAAAAGTTTTATTTCCTCAGGAGAGCTCAACAAACACTTTCGATCCCATACAGGTCTGTGTTTAGGGAGAATGTATTATTTTTTGTTCTCTCTAATTTCTTTTTATGTAAACATTGACTTTTAAGCCATTATGGACTATATAATATATAGTTGTACTTTTCAATAATATTTTAATGCATAAATATCACCTTTTCATTTGCTTACTTTTTTAGTTTTTTGGAGTGTGAAATAATTTGGTTGAGAATTGTGTAGATTTTCTAAGAGGTATGTCAGATAATAGTTTTTTAAGTGATTTGGATTTAATTGCACAGATATACCAATAAATGAAAAGGAATCAATAATAAGATAACATTTTCTTATTAAACATTGTTCAGTAAGTTTTAGGAATAAATTTTAATATTGGCATGTTTATTGAAAAAGGTAGTAAGTTGTTATTGTAAGTTGTATGAAGAAAATATTAAATGTAGAAAAAGTATTAAAGGAAAAGGCCACTTTGAAAATATGCTGTTCTGACTTTTTTTTTTAAATTACCCCTCATAATTTCTGTTTAGAATAATGTGAACTCTTAGGAAACATTTAATAAATTTGTTGTCAACTTAAAGCATCAGTTCTTATTTCAAGAGAATTACAATTTTATAGCATTTTATTCTGTCAGGTTTTTAAAAGGATTTTCTAATTTGTAAAGGATTTTCTAATTTGAGAACAGAAACCATAATTATGCTTTCCCCCCACTCTATCTCTTAGCCAAGGTCTGGTATTTAATTGTACTCACTAAATGTCTGATAGAAATAAAAGTGTAAGTTTTTTGTTTTTGTTTTAGTTTAAAATTTCTGTTAATGAAAATGCTCAGTTTTCCCTAAAATGGGGAAAACTATATAAAGTAAAGGCGTGCCTATGTGTATAGAAGTTTTTATTTCACTATATTAGAACCACGTGATTAAAATGGTAATTTGAAACTAAATTTAAACAGTGTAGTAATGTTTGCCTTGTTTTCATAAGCATTAATATTTTTGTCTTAGCTTCTAAAATATTGAGGTCTTAAGCTTTTAACTTATTTTTCAGGAGAAAGACCGTTTATCTGCGAATTATGTGGAAATTCTTACACGGATATTAAAAATTTAAAGAAGCACAAAACAAAAGTTCATTCTGGTAAAGGCTCATGTTTTAAAAATTTGGTGCTCTCATATTGATTATAACAATTTAGATTTTTTTAAACTAGATACATATGAGGAAAGTAGCTTTATAATTTGTACATAAGTTCACTCTGAAGTTCTTTTCATATTGATCTTCTAATAAATAATATTTAACTGTTTTCTCCATTCAAAAATCTTGAATTATGAACAGTTTCAAAAAGAAGGCACATATAAGTAAATGATGTATCACTATTCCGTTTACTAGAGTCTGGGTTGGCTAGAGTTTACTGTAGTTATATGAAGAGAGGGCCATCATGAACACAAATCCAGATATATATATGTATATGGAAATAAGGAAATGGAAAGCCCCAGTCTACTATAATATATAAAAATAAGAAAGCCAGGGTACAACATTTTATTTTTATATTATTTTTTTTAATATATTTTATTGATTTTTTACAGAGAGGGAGGGAGTGGGATAGAGAGAAACATCGATGAGAGAGAAACATCAATCAGCTGCTTCCTGCACAACCCCTACTGGGGATGTGCCCGCAGCCAAGGTACATGCCCTTGACGGGAATTGAACCTGGGACCTTTCTGTCCGCAGGCCGACGCTCTATCCACTGAGCCAAACCGGTTAGGGCAACATTTTAAATGTATTGTTTAAAATGAATTCCTTGAAAAAGTTTCACTGTGCTTACCATTTTCTTCTGTTGTGATTAGAAACAAAACAAAACACCAGGCTTCTTTGGTGTATAGAAATGCTAGTGAGTCTTTGATAGGAAACATAAACATAAGGATTTAATTAGTAACATCTGAAGACTGCATTGAGCCATTAATTCCACAAAAATTTATTAAGTACTTTTAACGTACACATAACTTCAGGATTTATGAAGTTGAACAAAGCGTAGTCTAATCTTCAAAGAACTTGCAACCTGGTATGGGAGACCAGAAATCTAAATAAATATGATTACAAGACAAAATGTAGGCTATAATAGAGACACTAAGTGCTGAAGAAGAGATTAATTACTTCTGAGGTATTGGAAAGACCTAATCCTGGGGAACTTGCAGGACAGAGAAGAGTTAAGAGGATGGAAATGGGAAAGGAAGCATTCATTCCAGACAACATTGTGGAGAGAAACACTGGGACAGGAAAGTGGAAGCTATATTCTTGGTTGAACTGAAGAGTAGTCTGTAAGAACTGAGTTATTGAGTTACATTTTTATACAAGCAAATGCACAGTTTTGTCTGATAATAGTGAGATTGTAATCATGTCAATACTTTGGATTGTCAGGAGCATGGTAAAGCTGGTGGAAAATTTGAAGGCAAATTGTATCTTCAGTCCGTATGATAACAATTTACTTGAGTAGAGCAGAATTTCTCACCTCTGAAAATATATGAAAGTGCCTTATCTCTGAACTTGAATTTACAGACTAGTATGAACAGCTTGTTAATACAGTCAGTGAACAAATAGAGTATTTATTATGTGTATAGCTCTATTAGGTACGTTAGTCTAATTGAGGATTCAAAGCATACCTAAGTTGAATGTTACATAGTGATAAGAGGAACTAGAGGCCTGGGCCCTCAGCCTGGCCTGCGCCCTGCCCTTTAGCAGTCCAGAGCCCTTGGGGGATGTTCATCTGGGGGATGTTCAGCTTGTGGCTGAGCAGCACTCCCCCTGTGGGATCGCACTGACCACCAGGGGGCAGCTCCTGCGTTGAGCGTCTGCCCCGCCCCCTTGTTCTGCTGTTCAGTCAATTTGCATATTACCCTTTTATTATAAAGGATAACATGTCACAAGGCATTAATATGAAACACAAATGAGTGGTAAAATAGATAAGAAGCAACTCATCCAGGGCTAGAATAATTAAGTCCATTTTTATTAATTTTTTTAAAAAAATGTATTTATTGATTTTAGAGAGGAAGGGATAGAAACATCAACAATGAGAGAGAATCATTGATCGGCTGCCTCCTGCATGCCCCGCCCCGGGGATCGAGCCCACAACCCCGGCATGTGCCCTTGCCGGAATAGAACCCGGACCTTTCACTCCGCAGGCCTATGCTCTATCCACTGAGCCAAACCGGCTAGGGCAATTCAGTTCATTTTTATCGTGGAGTTGTTTGAACCTAGTCTCAAAGCCCATGTTGAACTTGTATAGATAACGAGGGCTATTCAACAGAAGAGAAGTAGCCTGAGTAAAGGTGTGGTGGTTGGAAGTTCTGGGAATGGTAAGGGTTTTGTTTTGTCTTTAAAGATAGTATAATTTTTTTCCTCTTCCATTTTAGGGGCAGATAAAATTCTAGATACTACTATAGAGGATCATCCCTTAAGTGAACAAGATTCCATACAAAAAAGCCCTTTATCAGAAACTTTGGATGTGAAACCTTCTGATATGACTTTGCCACTAGCCCTTCCACTTGGGACTGAGGACCACCACATGCTTCTGCCTGTCACAGATAATCAGTCTCTGACATCAGACACATTGTTGAGGTCAACTGTGAATGGGTATTCAGAACCACAATTGATTTTTTTACAACAGTTATACTGACTTTGTGAGGATTATGGAATTGCTAAAACATCTCTGGTAGTAAACATAAACATCTCTGGTAAGGTGCGTATATTCATCTTAAATTATTCATTTGAGTTGTGGCCATTATTCATTCACTGAAGTAAAGGCACCTGATGCTATATCTCATAACTGCAATGCTTGTTTTGAGTTTTGGCTTTTATATCAGTAGCACTATTTTGGGTGGTTGAGTTTCCTTATCTTTTAGAGCTGCCTAAATTCCATTTTTATTTTGCATTTTAGACTTGCCTTTCATTTATTGAAGTGGAATCTGTCAGTTTATATGATTCAGTTTTGACCTGTGGGACTTAAAATTTTTCTTCCCCTCAAAATTAAAGTAAAATCCATAATGGTATCAGCACAAGAGATTGCTGTTACTAAGCTCCATAGACCACTACATAAACTATGAGGGAAAAAATAAAATTCCATATTTCTGCCTAAGAAAATTTAGATACTGAATAAGAATTGTGCTATATCTCTATTAATATATTCCATTGGAGATAACTTTTTTAATGAAACAAAAAGTATTTCTCGTAAAAGCTGGAAAACTGTATATAAATTCTTGTTTATTTTAGAACTCAGTATTCTGGAGAAAACCAATGGTCAGTACCTTTGATTTGAGTTATCTGACATTATATTTTCAAAATAAATTTAAATAGCTATTTGGTATTTTTACTTTGTTACAAGACAGTTTCAAAATTTGATTCAGGTTATGTTTTAATAGGTTTCTAGATTATTGAAGATGAGGAAAATATACTGAGTTTTTAAAATTTTGAATAAGTTTCTCTTATACCTGTTGTGCACTTTTAAAATAGAAAATTCTAAAAAGAATTTTCTAAATATAAACTTAATGCATACTGTAAATCACTTGGTTTCTGAATTTGATACATTATATTACATAGATTTAAGAAATTTAACTTCAGTTATAAGTACTAGTAAACACTTGAATTATCAGAAAGCCAGTTTATTAAACATTTTATATTTGAGTGTTCTATAAGTTTTGAGTTTGAAAATTTTATAATAAACCACAACATTTGGTGGTGGTTTGTAGCTTCACAGTCACCCTTTTCCTTCCTAATGAATATAGAAAATCAGTATTATTCTGATATTTGCTACCACTCTTCCCCATTCTACTTTTCCCACACACTAGTATTGATTTATTTTACTGCCTGATCTTTGAACATTATCATTTTCAGAGTCAATTCCTATACCGCTCATCGAACACCTTGGTGACATTATATTTTATTTCTGCCATACATTAGTTGTGGCTTGTTTTGGTTTTAAACTACATCTATAATAAAGTTAATGTGTTTTCTATTGGTATTGATTTCTTTGATTGTATTTTCTTTGGGGTCTTGGTCATAGGAACCAACTAGAGTACATAATAAAACTACTTAATTCTTGTGAACTGTAAAAATCGTCACCATTTCACAGCACACTCAGCATTTTTACAGTAAATTACCACCAATAAGATTGACTTAATTGAATTGAGTTTGAAATATGCCTTATATTTCCATCAAACATAGTATTTAATTATTTAAGAAATCTAGCTATGCATGTGTATTGACTTAATATACTGGGCTTAAATACAATTTATAGAGTTATAAAATGTTCAACTAATCTATTCTGGCTTAAATTCAATAGGAATTTATTGGAATGTGAAGATTTTAAAGAAAATTAAAAGACTCAGCCTCTTTAAGAAGTCTGCTGAAATGGAGAGGTTATATTTAATTCATCTCTTCATTAATTCAAGCATCTAATGAACAAAGTTTCTTTTTAAAAACACTACAATGATGTCATAATTCTAGGAGGGCAGTAGTTACCAAATTTCCTCTAATATGATCATTAGCACTTTGCCTTTGCATAGATTAGCCTTCAGATTTATTATTTTTAGTATTACTGGATTGGAATGGTTATAGTTGATTTACTGTGCTTTTTTTAAATCACATTATCTGCTTTTTAAAATTGGATTGGCTTGGTGCTCTTCCAGAATGACAGGTAAAGAAAGATTGAAAACTGAATATCCTGTCTTGTCATTCTTCTCATAATGCCATCCTATTCTTTATCATAATATACATATATTTTAGTTGTATTTGTTATCATTCTGATAATCAAATGTGTCATTTTAATTAAGTTCATCTTTAAATATGTCTATCATAATGCATTGTTTTGAGAAAAATCTGTTCTTAATTATTTAATTATTACTAAGTTTTTTAAAAAGTGTTTAGGATGCTGAAGATCTTACTGGGAAACATTATTTTTTAAGTTTTGTTTTGTTTATATGAGACTTTTCCTACTGTATTGTTAGAGGTTAGACTTTTTAAAAAGAAACCATAGATTATATGTAAAGGACTTTCTGCTGTTTTTAAATGATACTTGTTTTATGTTTAATTTCATAGGAGGATTTTGATAGACAAATTAAAGAAAATTGTTTTATTTTTTTCAAAAAGGGTTCTATCAGTTCTAATGCAATGATAGTTTACCACTTTTCTGTATGCTTTAATTCTACAGAAATTGTGCAAATGAGTAGTTGAAATGTGCTCATATAATGGCAGTATACATGTATTCATGTTTTTAAATATCCAAAAATAATAGCTCTAATATTTGATGCATATCATAAACATTTATAGAATAATGATAGTCAAGTCCCATCCCACCCCACCTTACTCCTACTGAATCAAACAATCTTTGGAACATATCTGTGCTGGCAAAGCCTCACAGTTTATCTTAATGTATACTACACATTGAGAACTATTATCCTAAATATTTTTAATGTCCATCCTTTTGGAAGCATTTATAAATGAAGCTCTTCATATAACTTTCCATCTTTTACTCAGAGATTTTGAGTCTGTAGAACTTAGCTAGAAATATCACCAAGTAAAAAGAAATTATATTTTAATGCAATAACCTGTAAATTCTACATTTTTACTCATTTATGAACTATATTGACATTTACTTATTGTAGTATTAATTTCTTTTTAAAAAATATTTTTATATATTTCAGAGAGGAAGGAAGAGGGAGAGAGAGAAACATCAGTGATGAGAATCATCAATCAATTGCCCCCTGCACACTCCCCCCATCCCCCCAACCGGGGATTGAACCCAAAGCCCGGGCATGTGCCCCGACTGGGAATCAAACTGTGACCTGGTTCATAGGTTGATGCTCAACCATTGAGCCACACTGACTGGGTGGAACATTAATTTCTTGAGACAATAATATGGTTTACTCTTTGGTCTCTGCAGTCCCTCCCCCCTTTCATTCAAGAGAGATTTGGTATATTTGTTTAAGGAATTAAATAATTATCATACAGAAATGGGATATTCAATTTCAAGAAGAATGGACTAAAACACCATGGTTGTGAACAGATGTTTGGATTAAAATATTTGGCTAGTATTTCAAATGCTGGAAAATGAATGAAATTGTTACCAGTGGGGAGAGTTCCTCATCCCCATCTGTTGCTCATGGGAATGGAATTCTTGTGATATCCTGAGACTCACTCACATGGGAGGATGAAATATTGTAGAAAGCTTTATTTCTGTGGAATTACACCCCTGAGTTTCTAAGGTCCCATTTCCCTATGTCCCTTCAAGGAAGAAGTATAGCTGTGGCTTCAGTAGGGCTAACATAAAAATCAGTATCCAGAGTCTCTGTTCCGTATTAGGGCATCATCCAATCTTGCATCAGGCTAGTTTAGTTTGTATTCCCAGGTGCAGTCTATCAGTCTATTTTATGTGGGGTCAGCATGGCCATGGGCCATGTGTCTATGGAGGGAATACAAGCAGGTGCAAAACCAAAGGAACCAGCGAGCCAAGAGCCACAAGTCAAGAGAGTCACAGGAGTGAACTCCTTTGGAGGTTTATGTACCCCCCAAATTTTCATGGGTGCAGTTGGCTCCACCACTTATAGCCAATGATTTCTGTTCCCAGATTTGATTGACAAGTATCTTCCCTTGGTCACCCCAACTTCACTGCATATGTGTCCATCCTCCCTTTTGTCTATTCCCTTCCCCCAGTAACATGCAGGGGATGGGCCCGTGGTTCCCTGTGGAGTGTGAAATTGTAGTTTCCTGGTGAAGCTACCCAGGTGACATGCCTATAATGTCTGGCCTCCCTTTTGTTCTTTTTTTACTAATAACTAGCTAATTACAATGATATCAAAATCATAAAGCTACAAAGATAAATAAGATAAATTCCACCTTTAAGTTTTCAGTCAAATGGGAAAGACAAGCCTGAATGTAACTAGCAATAAAATAAGTTAGAATGTCGGGTATTGCAGGGGAGGAAGGCAAGAAAGGAAATGTTGAGCAGTCAGAGGGAGTTGAATGGACAAAGAAAGGGCTGTTGCCCCCCTAGTTCTGAAAACAAGAGATGGCTGATGGGAGCCCTTTGCACACAGCTGACTGAGATAGGCAGAATGGAGAGAAAGTAGGAAATGGGAATGAGAAGTTCCACATGTCTAGCTCTGTACCTATACCATCTTTTCTGGTTATACCATCTTTTTTGTTGTTAATCCTCATCCTAGGATATTTTTTCCATTGATATTTAGAGACAATGGAAGGGGGTTGGGGGGAGAGACAGAGAGAGAAACATTGATTGGTTGCCTCCTGCATGCACCCCAACCGAGGCCCGGAATCCAGCCTGCAACCAAAGTCCATGCCCTTAACTGGAATCAAACCCAAGACCCTTCAGTCTGCGGACCAGTCCTCTGACCACTGAGCGAAACCAGGTAGGCTTAGCTGCACCTATACCATTTTACTTGCAGTAGTCCCCTACCCTTAGCCTATGCAGAAGGAATGGGATTGGGTAGCCTGGTTCATAACCCACCTTCTCACGAAAACCGCAGTTGACTGCTGAAGCCACATTTGTAACACATGATTCCATACCAAGACCACAGCTGCCTGAATACCTTACCAGTGAGAAACAATTCTTAGGCCAGACTGAGCTAGTTAGGTTCTTTTAAAAAATACATGTTTTTATTTATTTTAGAGGGAGAAGGGAGAGGGATAGACAAATATTGATGAGAAAGACACATCGGTTGGCTGCCTCCTGTGTGTTCTTCCGCCCCCTCCCCACACACAGCGAGGATCAAGCCCACAACCCAGGCATGTTCCCTGACTGGGAATCAAACTGGAGGACCTCTTAGTTCATGGGTCAGTGCTCAACCACTGAGTCACACCAGCCGGGCTACTTAGGTTCAATATATTTTTATTGATTTCAGACAGGAAGGGCAAGGGAAAGAGGTAGAAATGTCAATAATGAGACAGTATCATTGATTGGCTGCCTCCTGCACGTCCCCTACTGGGGATTAAGCCCTAAACCCAAGCATAATGTGCTGACCGGCAATTGAACTGTGGCCTCCTGGTTCATAGGCCAGTGCTCAACCATTGGCTGGGCAGGCTAGTTAGGTTCTTTCTCATAAATTTGAACTATGAAATTCTGAGACCATTACGTATACATGTAAATAAAATATCATTTATAACTGGCCCATGGTGAAGCAAGCCAAAAGAAACTGAAGAAGCAGAAAAAGCTGATTTGTAGAGCAAAAGCAAGGGGATGAAATAGGTTTGCAGAACCAACTGAGGAGTTGCCCGGGTTTCTGACTTTTCAGGTCCATTCCTGGGATACAACCATGCTTCATTTCCTTGTCTTTGGATTCCAGTGAGTTTTGCCTGATACATACTTATAGTAAGTAAATCCCCTTGTTCTTTTATTTTAAAGTTTTAAGTACATTTTTATTGATTTCAGAGAGAGGGAGAGAGAGAAACATCAATGATAGAGAAGCATTGATCGGCTGCCTCCTGCATGCTTCCCACTGGTGATCGAGTCTACAACCTGGGCATGTGCCGTGACAGGGAATGGAACCGTGTGACCTCATGGTTCATAGGTTGATGTGGAACCAGTGAGCTGCCCCAGTCGGGCATAATACCGCTTTTTCTTAAATACGCTTGAGTCAGTTTCTGTTCCTTGCAGATAGACAGCTTAAGACACCTAAGTTTTGATCCTTAGTGACTGGGGTGGTGATGCCAAGAACATACATGAAAGAGAAAACTCTTATTGTGGATTTACTGAATTTGACTGGAGGTGAGATATCCACGGGAAACCAGCAGTAGTTAGAAATGGGGCCTGAAACCCAATAGAGATGAAACTAGAGAGACAGATCTTGCAGCATACGACTAATTATTGTGATAGAAGTGATTAAGGCAGCCCTGGGAGTTGGTACAGAAGAACAAAAGATGAGGACAAAATATTGGGAAAATGCATTTCAAGAATTTGCCAAAGACAAAAGGAGATGGAAAGTAGTAACAAGAAAAAAGTGATGGTTCAAGCTGGTCACATGGTAAAGAGAAATTAAATAGGATGCCAGTCAAAAACAACATTGGGTTGGGTAATTGGAGTAGAAGCCAGGTGAATGTAGTTTGAGTAGTAGAGAAGACATAATGAATACTATTTAGTTTGAAAAGCAGAGTGTGTGGCACAAGCAAGATCATTATTTTACCAAATATCTAAAAAAGTATAAATCACTTTGTTCATTTTTTTCCCCAAATTTTAAACATTGTAAAATGAGCATAATATAATTCACAGCACTGTAATACAAGGCTGTTTCTGAGCTGGATCTTCAAAGATTGCTAGGAGGAAAATGGAAGGAAACTTCAGACACGTATATGGTTGCAGATTTACTCATGACAGTTCACATGTGCAGAGGAAGTGGAGTTTTCCTATAGAACTCTCATATCCTTCCTCTTGAGCTCCTACCAGTGGGAAGTCTAGAAAAAAAATAATTTTTAGTCCTAGCCACTTTAAAATCTAGCCTTATATAAAGGGGCTATATAGTTTATAATATCTTGAGTTAATGCTTAAACTCTTGGAATATTGCGGTCTTATTTCTGCTCTTTCTCTTAAATGGGATCCACATATATGGAGGAGGGAGCTTTATATGACACAGTGGCATCAAGGAAGTCAGTGTCTTCAGCTCTTCCATTCTCTGGGCATCTTGCTGGCCTCTGGTGCCCTGAGCAACAGCTGGTAAATTGTGTGATCAGGTTTTTCCGACGAGCCTGGTCAGAGCCCTCAGTAGTTCTTGGCTGCACTGACCTCACCTAGGTTTTCTTAGGTATGGAGAACTCTGAGACTTCTGCAACTCTCAAGCAGTCCGGTTGCAGGTTACCTCACTGCGGGCTCCAGGTAAACCTACTTGCTTCCCCATCAGCTACCTTCTGAGTCTCCTCTTGGGAGAATTTAGGAACTTAGTGGGACATCTCCATAGCACACAAGAACAGAAAGAGGCCTGGAAAAGCATTATTGCTAAGGGTTACTTGACTGTGTCCTAGCCTTAGAGGCTGTCTTTTCAGGATGCTGTAGACTCGTCTACTGCCCAGCATATTCTAGAATATTTCAATGCAATAAAAGATGGGCTACTGCTACATTAAACAACATAAATGAATCACACTAATATAATGTTGAGCAAAAGAAGTCAGATACAAAACATATACACTGTTTGATGCCATTTATTTAAAATTATTAAGCAGGCAAGATTACTCTGGTGTTAGAAGTCAGTATAGTGGTTGTCTATTGGAAGAGGTTTGGAGGCACTTGGGGGAAGCTTGTGATTTACTGTCTTTATCTGTGTCATAGTTAACATAGGTGGGTAACTTTGTGATCATCTAGCTATTCACTCAAGATTTTTGTACTTTTCTGTATGATGGCTATACGTCCATTTAAAAGAAATACATAATTTGTTATTTTAAGTTGAAGAATGCGAAAACCAGAGCATTGGTTTTTAAACTGTAAAGAGGTGAAAGGTGACCTGGATTGTAAAAATGCAGACTCTACAGGCTGCTTAGAAACTTTTGATTCAGTAGGTCTGACTCTGAGAATCTGTATTTTAAACATTTGTCCCAGGTGATTCTGATGCTCCACACTTTTTAAAAATGCTGATTTAGTGTCTATAGTTTGACAAACTGTGATCACTCTCTGGACAGATGTTCAATTGTAAGAAGTTTGTCATATATATATATATATATATATATATATTTTATTGATATTTTACAGAGAGGAAGGGAGAGGGATAGAGAGCTAGAAACATCGATGAGAGAGAAACATCGATCAGCTGCCTCCTGCACACTCCCTACTGGGGATGTGCCCGCAACCAAGGTACATGCCTTTGACCGGAATCGAACCTAGGACCACTCAGTCCTCAGGCTGACGCTTTATCCACTGAGCCAAACCGGTGAGGGCGTCATATATATTTTTAAATATATTTTTATTGATTTCCAGAGAGGAAGGGAGAGGGAGAGATAGAAACATCAGTGATGAGAGAGAATCATTGATTGGCTGCCTCCTGCAGGCCCCCTGCTCAGGATCTAGCCCACAACCCAGGACCTTTATTTCTGCAGAACAACACTCTATCCACTGAGCCAAACCGGGTAGGGCAGAAATTTGTCATATTGTCATTCAAGCTTGAGTTTATTGGATCTTTATAGGAGTAGTATTTCCTCACGAACTTAATGTTTTCCAAATGTAATAACAGTTTTAAATGTATTTTTTTTCCTATAGCATGATTTTTAAAAAATATATATTTTATTGATTTTTTAGAGAGAGGAAGGGAGAGGGATAGAGAGTTAGAAACATTGATGAGAAAGAAACATTGATCAGCCGCCTCCTGCACACCCCCTACTGGGGATGTGCCTGCAACCAAGGTACATGCCCTTGACCAGAATCGAACCTGGGACCCTTCAGTCTACAGGCCAACGCTCTATCCACTGAGCTAAACCGGTTAGGGCCCTATAGCATGATTTTATTGCACTTCCTGAATTCTGTAGTTTTTCAAATTTGATTAAAAAACAAAAATTTTATTCAACTTCCTATTGCATTATTAAACTATTACAGAACCACTTTGGCTTTACTGGGACATACAGCTTTTTAGATACAGATATTTAGTTCTGGATCTGATCAGCATGTAATAATGTAAAAGCACTTTGTAAAACCAATTAGTTTTTATATCTGCACAAGAGAAATATTTAAATGGAAAGAAAAGTTTTCAAACATGTAGAGAACTTTGCCACATAAGGTTTGATAAAATTTAATAACAAAGAGTAAAATCAGTAACTAGTAAAATCAGTCAGTATAAGTGTCCAGGTATATTCTGTGGTCTGTACAGTTTTACTTATTCCATTTTAAACATTTGTTAACAGCACCAATGGAAGGTCATATCTAACATTCCATTACCAGATGTGGTAGTTTCCTTAAATATAACCTATAAACAATATTTACCTTTAAAAAAAACACACACACACCTTGCCCCTGGCAGGCGTGGCTCAGTGGTTGCAGGTTAGATTCCCAGTCAAGGGCACATACCTAGGTTGCAGGTTTGATCTCTTGCTCTGGTTGGGATGAGTGCAGGAGGCAACCAATTAATATGTCTCTTACATCGGTGTTTCTCCCTCTCCCCTCTTTTCCAGTCGCTTAAGAAAAAAAAAAAATCAGTGGAAAAAATATCCTCAGGTGAGGATTGACCAAAAAATAAAATAAAAACCTAGAAATCCATTTTATACATTTTGTTACTAACAAAAACTATTAGGTGTGTATTTATCAACCAATTCCAGATGTTTTAAGATTTTGTTTCTCAGCAACCCAATAGCAACCATCTGTCCTAGATGATTCAAATTCATCTCTCTGAAAGCAGGAAAATGCATTTCTTAAGGCATTTAGGTCTTTTCTGCTCAATGACCCTATAACATTACCTGAAAATAATGCCTGATACAATTTGTTCAAATGTTCTTCCCATTTTATAACCACCACCACCACCATTTTCACCCCTTCTGTTGCCCCCCACCCCTTCCCAGGGAGTATGGAAAGATGGTATTAGGTGCTGTATATAAGGAAGGACCTGTTAAACTTTAAAAGTAATGAAATAGTAGGGGATATTTATCTTAATTGTTTAATTTAATGAAGGAATGGGCAGTGGGTGATATGTCTGGGGTTTTTTGTTTTGTTTTTGTTAATCCTCATCTGAGGATATTTTTCCATTGATTTTGAGAGAGAGAGAGATACATCCGATCAGTTGCCTCCCACACAGGCCCTGACCTGGGCCGGTGATGGAGCCTGCAACCAAGATACATGCCCTTGACCAGAATTGAACCCAGGACCCTTCAGTTTGCAGGCCGACGCTCTATTCACTGAGCCAAACTGCAAGGGCTCTGTGTTTTTCTAATGTTAAATATTTATTTAGAGTACAGCTGTGATTTGAGGAATTCACAATACTTTAAGGGAACGTCAATACTTGGGACAATTGTAAAGTTGACCACTACCTTTTATTCTAACCCATTCTCAACATTTAGAGATAGACTGACTTTCTTTTAGACTGCAGAACATCAGCTTAATTTAAAGTACCTTTTAAAATCTGTTCACATACTTTTTTCTCACTTTGCCTGGCTTGAGCAGTGATAAATCATTCAAATGAAGCAGCCTCTTTTTGGTTTGTACGGATTCAAAAGTTTGTGAATATAGGTCTCTAATTGAAGGATCCTAGTGTCAATTGCCTCTTCATAGTAATCTTAATTTAAAAACAAGATCCACTACAGTCAACAGTCATTATTTGCCATCAAATCATTAAAATGTTACTGGCAAAAGAGAGAACTATGTTAAAAGAGAATTAACTTAAAGAGAGAAAGATAGAACTCCAAAAGAGAGCTGTCTTAAAAAGCTCACTGGTAGCACTGGCGTGTTTGGAAAGTATACTTTTATATGTATTTGTATATGTGTATATTTATACCTATTTGCCTGTATCTGTGAGATTGTATCAATACTCATCTGTAATACCCAAATAAGACATATAAAATGCTTTTCCACCCCTAAACCCCTTGGAATCCCCTGAGAATCTGCCACCTGAAACCTTTTTACCACTTCATGACAACCCAGAGTTAGCATACCTATAATGACCTTTTCTTGTATGCTATTTTACTACTTGGTTATATTTTCTTTACAAAAAGTTCCTTGATTTCTTTCTCTAGGGTATAAAAATTATAGTCTATTTTGTAAAATTTCCTTTTAAAAATTGCACTACTCAGTTTTTTCATATGGATAGTTTAATATAGCCATATCTTTTACATATTTGATAAAAGTAATTTGTCCTAATTTATGAAATAGGCAATAAAATGTTCATCTCTGTGAATATAAGTCAAATGTATGAAAATTATTTTATGACTGTTTGTCATAGCTGTTGGCCTACTGGTACGAGACTGAAACCGGCATTAGATGAGTGGCTGAAAGCTTCTCCATAAGTTGGTGTCCAGTAGTAGTGCCTTTTAAGGCCATTGGAGACTTCTGAAAGATACACACGTCCATCCACCTCATATGGCTGCACATCGGTATCGTCTGGTTTTAGACGGCCCATTTCAATTAAGTTTGAATATGCCTAATATTTTTAAGAAAAGAAAAACTATATCATTAAGAAAATAGTTTATTCATTTTATAGTACTTAAATTGGCTGTGCTAATTTGCAGTTTATAATAAAATATTCTGAATAACATTGCTGAATTTTTATACTTTCTAGGTATTGTAATGAGGTTTTTATTCATTTAATTTCACACAATGAAATTAAAATTTTGTAAAACATTTCTAATATATTGAGCTTTTTTTAAAAAAAATAACTCCTAGAGTTACCAATTCTCTGTACACCACTTTTGTGGACTGAAAAGTCCCATGGTCAAAAATGTCAAGTCCCACAGAGGTTCTTAAATGAAGGAGGAAGGCTATTGTATATGTCCTTGAAGATCTGATGATAACCAGGGATCCATTTCTCAGAAAAATTAAGCACAGATTTTATCTTACAACTATACAGAGTTCATGAACTTGCTGAAACTAATCTACAGATTTAGACTAAAAGAGATAATCCCCATAGTATTAGATGCTGGCCTGGCTGGCTGCCTAATTCTATCTTCATTGTAGAAATTACTTTGCATATTGCTTATGGATCATTGGTATCTGTGTAAGGGTGTTATACAAGCGTGTTAAACTGGTTTATCAGTAAGGTTGCAATTATAGAGAAAGGCAAAATTTAGACAGTAAAAGATTTTAAAGTCTAGCTTCATTCTGCTTTAGCTTGTCATTATTAGTTGTAAACTCAACTTAGCTTCTAGTATGTGATCTTTATATTCATACTAGAGGCCTGGTACATAAAATTCATGCACAAGAGGGGGGTTGGTAGTATCCCTCAGCCCAGCCTGCACCCTCTCCAATTTGGGACCCCTTGGAGGATGTCCGACGCTGGTTTAGGCCCGATCCTAGTCAGATATCCCTCTCACAATCAGGGACTGCTGGCTACTCATGGCTTGCCTGCCAGCCTGATCCACCCCTAACCACACCCCTGCCAGCCTGATTGACACCTAACAGCTACTCTGCCGGCCTGATCGTCCACATCTGCCGTCCCCTGCTGGCCATCTTGTGGTGACCATCTTGTGATGATGTTGCACGATGTCACCTAGGCTTTTATTATATAGGATGTAGCACTTGATATCTTGCTATTTCAATCAAACTTTCCAGTAGCTAATTTTTAGGACTTAATGTTAAAATTTATCAAAACTTGTAGCGCCTCACTCTACTTTTTAATCATTCCTAATGTACTTGTAAACAATGTAAATAATTCTCTCTCTCTCCATATATATATATATATATATATATATATATATATATATATATATATATATATAAAAGGAAATATGCAAATTAGGCCAGGACACCTTAATGGGTCACGACCAGACAGGAGAAGGTTGCGCACGCAGGTGAGGCCCAGAGCAAAGAGAGAGATGGAGATAGACGGGGCTGGCAAGCTGCTGCGACCCAGCTCGGGCGGCCCCCCAGTGCTGGAGCGGACAGGGACAGGAGGGCTGGCCCGCAGCCTCCGTGGCCAAGCGCAGGCCTGGAGAGGAGATGGCGGGCCCACCTTCTGCAGAAGCAGCACGGCTCCCTCCTGCTCCCGTGGGCACTGGTGGTTTGCTTCCACCTCCCGCAGATGCTGCACGGCTCCCGTGGAAGCAGCACCGCTGCAGCGCGCTGCGGTTCCCACTGGCTCATGGGGAAGTGGCAGGCGGCCTACTGCATGTGATATCGCACGATGGGCTACTAGTAAGTAAATAATATCTGATGTCATAGAGAAGACCCTAGAAAATACCTTGAGTAAGAAAAAACTTACCACACATGTAGCCTCATCAAAGTTGTTTCCCCAAATGTAGATATTAGAGAGCGTGGGATTTGTTTTCATTGACTCTGAAAGTGCAACCAGTCCTTCTCCCTGTATGTTGTTGCTGACTATTGACAACCTGTGAAAAAACAAAAAGTAATAACCTGGAAACTGGTATTTCCACAAAAAAGAGAATGCCTAAGTTAGCAACATTTATTACAAACAGGTTATTTTGTAGTCTCAGCATTATTCTTAAATATGTTTACTGTAGTAGTCAAAATACTATGTATTTCCTCAGATCCAAGAAACTTAGCTTTCTGCTTGTATGCTTCATGCACCTAGTAGAGTTGCCTACATTGTGGAAATCGTTTTATATTATTCAGTAAATGTTTGGGGGTGGATTACAGATATATCTTTGAAGATAAAAGTCATCCAAGTAATACTTTTTTTTCTATTCTCACCTGAGAATATTTTTTCCATTTTTTCCCCCTTTTAGAGAGAGTGCAAATGGAGGGAGGGAGGGAGGGAGGGAGAGAGACACTGATGTAAGAAAAACACACTGATTGGTTGTCTCCCACACTGCACTCGCCCTCACCGGGGCAGGAATTGAATCCGAAATCCTTTGGTGACCAGTCTGACACACTAACCACTAAGCAACACCAGCAAGGGCAGTAATATTTTCTTTGACTCATTCTTCATTTTAGAATTCAGGTTAAATAATGTAAGCAATAAGAATATTCTTATTCATTTTAAGCAATCATAACTAGAATAAAACAATCTAATTTTTAAAAGTACTTTTGAAAATTAGAAATTGAAATGTTTACTGCACACTTAATATTATGACAGTTTAGGAAATTAATATCATGAATCTTAAGAGTTAAGTGGTTTGATGTTACATTTAAGTTTTCTGTTATAAAAATACAAACCATACTAACGCTTTAAGGCTCCTGTTGTGTGAAGCAAGAGTTTCACTGAGACTATTTGCTCCTGCATTTTCTATTCTGTTAAAAGAAAGATCTATTACTTCCAGGGTAGTGTTGCTTTTCAGTACATCAGCCAAAAACACCATTCCATCATGAGTTATTTTATTGCTGGGAAAGGAAAAATATGTAGTTACTAGTGAGTGGCCTGGTGCACGAATTTGTGCACATTGAAATTAATTAGAAGAAATATTTTAATATCACTATTCACTCTTTATAATAGAAGTGTAAACCAAATTCACGATATACAATGACAGATAAAAACACATGTGTGCAATTGGCCCTAGCAAGAGCTTTATATATATCACACATGCATGAGTCAACTTAGCCTTTTATATATCCTATATAATAAAAGCCTAATATGCTAAGTGTCCAGTCATCGGTCGTCCGTTCAACCAATCAAAGCATAATATGCTAATGATATGCTAAGGCCACTCAACCGCTCACTATGATGTGCACTGACCACCAGGGGGCAGATGCTCTGACTGGTAGATTAGCTTGCTACTGGGGTCCGGCTGATCAGGACTGAGCAAGATGGACCAGACACACCCTGGAGCCCTCCCGCATCCCTCCCCGGCCCCGATCATGCACTGGTGGGGTCCCTTGGCCTGGCCTGTGCCCTCTTGCAATCCAGGCTGAGGGACCCCCTCCCCACAAGTGCACGCATTTCATGCACTGGGCCTCAAGTATAGAATAAACTTGCTTAATTAGACCTGCTTTTGAATGGAGCTAAACTTTTCCCAACCCAGTGAAGCACCCCAACTTCTCTTTCAGGTAATTGTCAGCAACACAGCAGTAAATATCAACACGAAACACATTATTATTGTAGATCATGCAGGGAGAACAAAGGTAAAATATTTAACTGCAGCAGTGTTTGACTATATTCTGCGCAGTGAGAAAACCTGAAGTCATTTTCAAGGTCCATCATTTCTTCTTTTCAGTCAAGTTTCTAAACTTTCTAAATCTCCGTTTTCTGGCTAATGAAAAGAAAATAGGATTCTACCGAGTCTCCTATCTGCCTGCTCCAGGACTTCTGTGAGGAGCAAATGAGATGAGGCATGGGAAAACCCTTCACAGACATTTGGTTAAAGTGTAAGATGTCTGCACCTGGCTATAAAGCAAATTGTGTTCCTGGGGTGAAGAAACTCCAAGGAGGCTAGTCGCTAGGAAGAGGAAGCCGGGCGATGCTACATGATGTCATTACCTGGTGCCCACAGCAACCATTTCTGGGCTGGGCTGGGCTGTGGGCTGCATTTGTGCCATGGGGTCTCAGCAGCGTTTGCTACGATTTGGTGGGGTGTCACTCCAGGGTGGTTGTGGGGCCTGTGTCCTACTTGGGGGAAGCCGAGTGTTGGTTTGTGGGCACCAGATCCATAGTGCTGTTTATTGTTAAATGGCCTGTTGCTAGGGAGAGGAAGCCAGGCGTTGTTATGTGACATCATTACCCGGCGCCCATAGCCATTTTCAAGCTGGGCTGGGCTGGGCTGTGGGCCGCATTTTGTGCCATGGGGTCTCGGCAGTGTTGGCTGCGATTTGGTGGGCTATTGCTCTGGGGTCCACAGTGCCATTTCTCTGTAAATGTCTTGCGTTGAGTGTCTGGCCCCTGGTGGTCAGTGCACATCGTAGCGACCGGTTGGACAGTCAGACACTTAGCATATTAGCCTTTTATATATAGAGATATTTGAAAATATGAAGTATTATTTTTTAAAATATATTTCTATTGATTTCAGAGAGGAAGGGAGAGGGAAAGATAGATACATCAATGATGAGAGAGAATTATTGATCGGTTGCCCCCTCCATGCCCCCTACTGGGAGTTGAGCCCATAACCCAGGCATGTGCCCTTAACTGAATCAAACCCATGTCCCTTCAGTCCGCAGGCTGATGCTCTATCCACTGAGCCAAACCGGCTAGGGCTGAAATATTATTTTATTCATAGAACATACTTAAAAACTTACAGAGTGATAAACACTACTTTCTATTTCTCTAAATATTTATTTTACTCAATTTCCAAAAAAGTTAATGAAAATTTGCCATAAAATGTTGCTTCCATTCTGGTTTTCATAATTAAGTTGCTCACTTAAATTATTAGGTGATTAATATCAGCATAAACTAAATAAATTCTAAGGCTTAGAATAAAAAGTTGACAACAGTGGTTATGTTTTCTAATCTTTGGAATTAGTATCTAACAAAATATACTATATACTATGAATGTTGACATAGATTATGCCCATGACTTGAATTACTTACTGTATAAATTATCACCTACCAGCTGACATCAAGGTAGCGCAGGCTTCTGTTCAGATATAGTGCATCACATAACTGTTTTAGGCCAGAATTTTTCACATTATGCTTACTCATGTGTAGTGTAATAAGACTGTGGTTTTCCTTTAACATGTGGCCTAGATGAACTGTGGACTCTTCCTAAAAAATAGATAAATCGTTTTTCTAAAGTATATTTGAAGCAGTGGATGTTTGTTCCGAACATATACTAAAAATGATCTTTTTTTTTTTTTGCCATAAATGATCCTCTTTATCCTTCTTTGCCACAAATGATATCTTTACTGTTTTAGAAACAGGTAGCAGGCACTTGTAAAATGCAGTAACTAAATGATGTAAAAGAGGCTAGTTAAAAAAAACATAATAATCACTAAGAAAAAGAATCATTCCAGAAGGAAAAAAATCAAACCAACTGGTCTTACGATGTAGTGAGCATATTAACTCCCTTACTGCCGTCCACTCAAGTCTCTAAACTGTTCCTGACCCTCCATATATTCCTAAACTTTGTTCTTGATCGCCTCTTAATAGTAGACAAGATATAAAGACATTTCTTAGTCTCCACTCTATTTTAAAAATACACCCATTTAAACCTACTGACATATCCGTTTCCTCCCTTTTATAATCATCCCAAATGTCTAAATACCATATATCTTAATCTTGTTTTCTTGTCACTGGAAGAGTTTTTTAAAAATGTATTTTTATTGATTTCAGAGAGGAAGGGAAAGGGGGAGGGAGGGAAGGAGGGAGGGAGGGGGTGACAGAGAGAGAGAGAGAGAGAGAGAGAGAGAGAGAGAGAGAGAGAGAGAGAGAAACATCAACGATGGGAGAGAATTATTGATCAGCTACCTCCTGCACATCCCCCACTGGGGACAGAGCCTGCAACCTGGGCATGTGCCCTGACTGGGAATCAAACCGTGACCTCTTGGTTCATAGGTCAAGGTTCAACCACATTGGCCAGGCTGGAAGACTTTTTTTTTTTTTTTAATATATTTAATTTATTTTTTACAGAGAGGAAGGGAGAGGGACAGAGAGTTTGAAACATCGATGAGAGAGAAACATCGATCAGCTGCCTCCTGCACACCCCCCACTGGAGATGTGCCCGCAACCACAGTACAGCCCTTGACCGGAATCGAACCTGAGACCCTTCAGTCCGCAGGCCGACACTCTATCCACTGAGCCAAACTGGTTAGAGCTGGAAGACTTTTTTTTTTTTTTAATATATTTTATTGATTTTTCACAGAGAGGAAGGGAGAGAGATAGAGTTTGAAACATCGATGAGAGAGAAACATCGATCAGCTGCCTCTTGCACATCCCCCACCGGGGATGTGCCCGCAACCCAGGTACATGCCCTTGACCGGAATCAAACCCGGGACCTCTCAGTCCACAGGCTGGCGCTCTATCCACTGAGTCAAACCGGTTTCGGCTGGAAGACTTTTTTTTAATTCCAAAATATAGCTGCTCCCAGGCAAAAGGTATATAACTTCAATGAGGATTTGAATACCAAGCATTTCAAATTTTTAACAGAATCAAAATGTATCTTAAAATGAATGGACCCAAGTATTTTCTGGTCCTCTTGAATGATTGTATTTTAGTAAGTTTTATAGTCACTAAAAATGCTGACCACAAATATGATAACTATGCTTTAATTATGTAAATGTGCATTAAGAAAAACTTTAAAAGTTAAATGGAACCACACAGCAATAGCACATGAGCTTTATAATAAAATTTCCAAATGCTAGCTTTACCTTTTACTAGCTATATGACTGGGCAAATTATTTCATCTGAGTCTGTTTCCTTTTCTGTTAAATAGGTGATATTATACTTCCCACCAAAATTAAATAAAGTACCTGCACAAAATAAGTTCTAGAGAAAACTGCAAAGCATTTATTCCTTCAATATTCTATAATCCTGTGTCTGGTATGCTTATATTATTGTTTTGACAATGAAAAGATATACCCAAGGGGAAGCTGTAGTGACCATCCTAAGAAATGCAAACTGACCCCCTAGGGCAGCAGTTGCCAACCTTTTGGACCACAGGTTGGCGACTGCTGCCCTAGGGAGTCCAGTGTTGCTGTGTGTGCTGCCTGGAATGGAGGACATATAAAAACACATTTGTGTTGTACATCTTGATTGCATTTTTAGGTCAAGAAGTTTCAAAGAGAGGACTAATGTCAGAAATAGTAAAGGTTGTTGTTTTTTTTAGCCCCATTCACTAAGTTTGTGACTTAATTTGCCTAGGGTGGCACCTGGCATAGGTATTTGTCTAAGCTCCCCAGATAGTGAACAGGAAAATCCTTAAATGAAATCAGTTTGCAGGTTCACATTTTGGAACTGCAACGTGTGAGGCCCACAAGCCATTTAAGAGGAGAGCAGTGCTCAGTGAGAGAGGGCGGGGACTGACTTGGAGAGGAAGAGAAAGCAGAGTTTAGCTGACTGCCCAGAAGCTCCAGACTGAGAGTAAGGGCTTGGGCTTTTAATTACTCTTGGGGTGGATTGGGGAGTAATGAGGCCACTCAACATAATATGATTTCATAGAGTTTAACGTTTATTTCCTTGGGACCTTTAATCCAGAAAATGTTTAGCCTTCAGATCTGTCATGCCCTCAATCAGAGAACCTTCCCAGCTACCTCTCGTCCCTCTGTATTGGTTTTCTGCCCTTCCACATGCTCCCAAGGTCCCCTAACCATAACACCCTCCAAACTTGTTGATCTCATCCCATGTAGACGAAAGTTCCTTGAAGACAAGGGCTGAGTGTATGTCTGACTTCTTATTCTAGCATCCAGCGTTGTGTCTGGTTTAGGGTTACATTCAAATGTTTATTTTTAAAGGTGACTTTAAAATATATTTGTATTGATTTCAGAGAGGGAGAGGGAAATAGAAACATCAATGATGAGAGAATAATTGATGAGCTGCCTCCTGCATGCCCCCTACTGGGGATGGATCCCGTAACCCAGGCATGTGATCCAACTGGGAATCGAACTGTGACCTCCATCTGGTTCACAGGTCGATGCTCAACCACTGAGGACACCAGCCTGGCAAATGTTTATAATGAATGAATGAATCGCCAGTGAAGCAACTCACTGAATGCTTACTTTGAGTCAGATACTTTGCTGGTCTTTTAAAGAAGGGTGCTTGTATTTGAGGATTCTGTGTTTGTTGAACAGATTAGATTTATGTACGTGAAGCAATTAACATGTAAAATTCCAAAAATTTTGATACAGGAAAGTGCAGAAATGATTGAAAGGGAAAGATCTATGCAGACAAAGAATGCAAAAACACGAATATTAAAAATATTTTAAGAATATAGTTAATTCTCACCCGGCCGGCGTGGCTCAGTGGTTGAGTGTCAACCTATGAACCAGGAGGTCACAGTTCAGTTCCCAGTCAAGGCACATGCCCAGGTTGAGGGCTTGAGCCCCAGTGTAGGGCATGCTGGAGGCAGCTGATCAATGATTTTCTCTAATCATTGATGTTTCTATCCCTCCCTCTCCCTTCCTCTTTGAAATCAATAAAAAAATATATATTTAAAATATAGTTAATTCTCAATGACTCATACTAATGGGGAACAATGACATAGATAATTTAAAGACTAGACAAAGTACTTTGAAAATTTTTTTAGTAGATATTCTGTTTTTGTTTAGACCAGGGGTGGGCAAACTTTTTGACTCGAGGGCCACAATGGGTTCTTAAACTGGACCGGAGGGCCGGAACAAAAGCATGGATGGAGTGTTTGTGTGAACTAATATAAATTCAAAGTAAACATCATTACATAAAAGGGTACGGTCTTTTTTTTTTAGTTTTATTCATTTCAAACGGGCCAGATCCGGCCCGCGGGCCGTAGTTTGCCCACGGCTGGTTTAGACCAATAATAAAATGAGTTCTTGTTCACTACTTTTTTATAACTGACAAGAAAGGAAAAGAATGTTAAGGGGCAAGAAGCCTTGAAAGTAGGAACCACATTTTTATCTGTGTGTCTCCAGCATGCGGCTTACCTACAGGAGCAAGTCCAGACTTCCCAGACTGCTATGCACACGCATTCTGCCATGATTACTCATGACTTCAAAGATGTAATGGTTCAGTCACCACAATATAACAAAAACAAACAGTAAAACAGTTCATACCCGCCTTATAGTCCAGCCTTTAAAACTTTCATCTTTTATTCTTTCATTGTAACTACTTTGCCCCTCACAGGTTTACTCACTGAGAATTTGAGTTTATGAGAAGAAAAAAAAAATTATATGTTTGCTGCCTAAATAAGCAACATTTAAAACATATTTAGCTTTAAGACTCGTATCAAGAAGTAATAATTTTCCTTTAAAAGATTTTTTTAAAAATATATTTTTATTGATATTTTTACAGAGAGGAAGGGAGAGGTATAGAGAGAAACATCAATGAGAGAGAAACATTGATCAGCTGCCTCCTGCACACGCCCCACTGGGGATGTGCCCGCAACCAAGGTACATGCCCTTGACTGGAATCGAACCCGGGACCCTTCAGTCTGCAGGCCAATGCTCTATCCACTGAGCCAAACCAGTCAGGCAAAAGATTTTTTTTTATATAAATAGTAGTTTACATTCTAGAAATACAATGCATTTGTGAACCTTGACATAACATTCAGTAAGCAGTACCTTCATTTTATTCACATGTGGTAATATTAATTACTGTTACTTGGGATACATACCTGCTCACCATACAGTATAGGTCGGTTTAGGTTTATTGCTTTAATTGTCTGGTTCTGAGTTAGGACTGTAGCAAATGCTATCACACTTTGCATTCCCTAAAAACAGATAAATTCTTTAAGGAAACTGACAAAATATATAAATTAACCTCCTTATAAATAAATATTTCAATATTGGTAATCTGATAAATGAAAATTGTGGCTTAAAAATGTTTAAGTATTTCCTGCTCCTTGAATTATAGATTGACCAAATTCAGAAATGAACTGTTACGCTCTTTTCTCCTTGCCCTGACACCTATTGATAACATGCATGGGGAGTTTCAGTCTCCGAGAATCTGCTAGGGTGTTTGCCTCTAGGTTTGCTCCTAAGCCCTCAGATACACATGTGAATCCCAGCTAGGGCTCTGTATGACTGAGAACACCTATCCTGTGCCAGCATTCTTTTATAGTCATACTTTAAGTGTACATGGCAGGAAAGGGTTACTCATCACATTTCCACCGCTCCCACAGTCTCCCTCTCTACCTTATTGGGTCGGTCTAATCCTCCGCATCTCAGTGATGGTACCGCCACACACACCCAGCTATTTTGCCATAAAACCTGTGCTTCCTTTCACTCCACCAGTCCTCTTACCCTCCCATCCAGTCAATCAGTAAGTCTTACAGATTCTACCTCTAAAAAATGTCTCAGATTAGGGAACCTCTGTGGCCACCACCCTACCCCCATCTTTGTCCTCATCAATCGCCCACATGGACAACTGCAATAACTTCCTATGTGGTCACTGGGTTTCCTCTTGCCACCCTCTCATTCTTCACAGAGAAACCAGAATGATCTTTTGAAAGCACCAATCAGATCATGTCACCCCTCAACTTAAGGCCTTTCCATGACTGGCATCCTATATAATAAAAGGGTAATATGCAAATTGACCCTAACAGCAGAACGACTGGGAATGACTGGTCACTATGACACACACTGACTACCAGGGGGCAGATGCTCAATGCAGGAGCTGCCCCCTGGTGGTCATTGCGCTCCCACAGCGGGAGCTCTGCTCAGCCACAAGCCAGGCTGACGGCTGCCAGTACAGCGGTGGTGGTGGGAGCCTCTCCCGCCTCCTCAGCAGCGCTAAGGATGTCCGACTGCAGCTTAGGTCTGCTCCCCGCTGGCAAGTGGACATCCCCGGAGGGCTCCTGGGCTGACTGCCAGTTTAGGCCTGATCCCCTGGGGAGCAGGCCTAAGCCAGCAGGTGGACATCCCCCGAGGGGTTCCAGACTGCGAGAGGGCACAGGCCAGGCTGAGGGACCCCCCAAGTGCACAAATTTTTGTGCACCGGCCTCTAGTTTATAATAAAATCCCCCCTGCTTCCCATGACCCACATTTACAACCCACACAACCTTTGCTGAAACTGGCCCCTATAAACCTCTCCACCTTCACTATGAGGCACTCTTTAAACTCCTGTCTAGCCACTGTCTTTTCAGTTCTTAAAACCTGCCAGACTTCATATTTCATTATTCATGTTCCTCCCTCATGATTTTACCATCAATCTGAACATCAGTTTTAGTATTATTTCTTATCCTCACCCAAGGACATGCTTAGAGAGAGGAAGGGAGAGAAAGAAACATCAATTAGTTGTCTTCCATACTCCCCCAACTGAGGACCAAACCCAAAACTCAGGTATGTGCCCTGACCTGGAATCAAACTGCAACCTTTTGGTGCATAGAATGACGCTCAACCAACTGAGCCATTCTGGCTGGGCAGTTTTACTATTTACCTAACATTTTTCCATGAAATCAACTCTTTCACTTTATTTTAAAACTCTGAATCACTCCCAGCTGAGCTGGCTCAGTGGTTGAGTGTCCACCTATAAACCAGGAGTTCACAGTTCAATTCCTGGTCAGAGCACATGCCTAGGTTGTGGGCTCAATCCCCAGTAGGGGGCGTGAGCCAATTAATGATTTTCTCTCATCATTGATGTTTCTAACTCTCTCCCTCTCCCTTCCTCAATGATATCAATAAAAATATACTCAAAAAACACACCTTTGTATCACTACTGTAAATGAAAACCATAATCCCTTGAAATAAATAGAAAGCATCTGCAAAACATGTACATAAGGATTAAAATTACCTCAACCTGTAGCAGTAATACTGCCTCCACCACACATGGAGAAGTACTAGCAGAGTCTCTATATTGGACCCCTCGCCTGGAATGTTCTGCCATAGACCTCTCCGGGGCAGTTTTTCCTCGTCTTTCATGACTCCTAAATATTACTTCCTCAGGTCTTAGGCAACCGTCTATCATGCGAATTACCTCCTCCCCATTATAAACAGTACCTGGCCATCTTCATAGCACCTTTCTCTATTTATTGATATTTTCCCAACTAAATATAGGCTTTATGAAAGAAGGCAGAGACCACATTCGATGCGCACTTGTATCCTTGGAAGCTAGGATTGTGACTGTTACATGTAGAGGGTATAAATTGAATTAATGCTTCTCCCAGAGCCAGAGTGGCATCAACTACTTTTTAAAGCTCCAGAACCTATTATTCCTAGGAGCCTCCTGGGCCATCTTATTGTTTTTGTGTCCCAGTAATTTTCGTTAATCTGTGCAACAGGTTCCCAACATTAGGCCTCCAGGTCTGAAAGCATGTTGAGAAAATGAAGTCTGGAATTTGAAGACATGCAAAATCCACACACCTCATCATCAGGCCAGTGGAAGGCCCAGAGCAGTTTTTGGCATCATTTTAGGTCTTTTTAAAAATATATATATTTTTATTGATTTTAGAGAGGAAGGAAGAGGGAGAGAGAGTTAGAAACATCAATGATGAGAATGAATCACTGATTGGCTGCCTCCTGCACACCCCCCAACTGGGGATCGTGCCCGCAACCCCGGCATGTGCCCTTGACCGGAATCAAACCTGGGACCCTTCAGTCTGCAGGCCAACGCTCTATCCATCGAGCCAAACCGGCTAGGGTTCATTTTAGGTTTTTAGGCTACAACTACTCACTTCAAAATGTTTTCAAAGTAAAAAAATTTGTATGATAATAATAAAGTAGTATTTGTTTAATTAAAATGAATACAGTCTTTTTCTTTTAAAATCCCACACAGGTTAAGGTTTGTGGATGGAAATTTAAGAAGATTTTTATTATACTGGAAATTTTTCTGTAATGTCATTTACAACAATCTGATTTATTAAGTAAGCACTATTATGCCTAGGTTTTCTGTTTTGTTTTTTTTTTTTCTTAAAGCAGCCTTTTCTCCGATATTGACATTAGGGGCAAGTCTAACCATTCATAATGCTGTCATTTAGCTGCTCTCTATGCTGGTTTCCAGGGAAAAGGATCCATTATCTGGGTGATTTTCTCATAACCAATTTACTCACCAGGTCAGTGTCACCCAGATCTAACTTCTCTAAGGATGAATTAATTTGTAGCATTGCAGCAAAACACATTCCACCTTTATTTTCAACTTTGTTTCCAGTCATTCTTAGGTATTTCAGAGTTGTATTCTTCTGAAAAGGGAAACAGTCAAAACTTGGTTAAGTTTTTAATCCACAGAAATTCAGAGTATATGAGTTAGGTGACTATTTTACTATTTGCAGGCTCATCAATTATTCATGGGATAGAATTGGATAGTCTTTAAGGGTGACATTCAATTTCCCATAATAGATAAAATGTAGTTTAATAGTAGCTCAGTAGAAAGAATACCCAGGAAACAGATGCTAAACAATAACCACTAAATAAAGCAGACTTTTAATAAACTTTCTTTTCCTTGGAAAATCTATAAATTTATCTTCTAAGAACATTATACCATTTTTTATTGAGGTGAAATTTGCATAACACAAAATTAACCATTTAAAAGTGTACAATTCACTGATTTTTAGTATATTCACAGTCATCACCGCTAGCTGGTTGCAAAACATTTTCGTCAGTCACCCCCAAAGGAAACCCGGTGCCCATTAAGCAATCAGTTCACTTTTAAAGATCTAGTTCTCAGACATTCTCAAAGTTTAATTCCTTCTCTCATTCTACTTTCTGGATAACTTTCACAAAGAAAGTTACAGACATGTCATTGTCCTAATGAATAAATATTAGGACATGTAAGTGCAAATAATTGTCTTTAAAACTAATTCAAACTCACCACCTTTATTTAACACTCGAGGCCCAGTGCATGGATTCATGCACCAGGGGGGTCCCTCAGCCTGGCCTGTGCCCTCTCGCAATCCGGGACCCCTCGGGGGATGTGGGACTGCTGGGATCAGGCAGACACCTGCAGTCCGACATCCCCTGAGGTATGTAGCATTGTGCGAAGCAGCAGGCGGTGGGGAGGAGCCCAAGTTTGGGCGGTTACTGTGCCATCCGCTCATCCTGCCCCGCTACAGTAGCGCTGCCACAGAGGTGAGAGAGGTGGTCAGTTGAGCGGAGCTCCTGCTGTGGGAGCTCACTGACCATCGGGGGCAGCTCCTGTGTTGAGCATCTGCCCCCTGGTGGTCAGTGTTCATCATAGTGACCAGTCAAACGGTTGACCAGTCGCTTAGGGTTTTATATATATAGATTGTACTGAAGGTTCTACACAGGGCCATCAGGCAAGAAGAAACTAAAAAGGCATCCAAATTGGAAAAGAAGTAAGTAAAACTATCTCTGTTTGCATATGAAATGATCTTATATGTAGAAAATCTTAAGGAAGCCACACAAAAAGGAAAAATCTGTTAGAACTAATAAACTTCAGCAAGACTGCAGGACACAAGGTCAATATATACAGAGTGGCCAGATTATTATGACCACTCCATCAGTACTTCGTTGGGCCACCTTTTGCCTTCAGTACTGCGGCGATTCTTCTTGGCATTGACTCCACAAGATGTTGAAAGGTGATGCGAGGAATCTGACACCATGCCTGATGAATAGCACTGTCCAGTTCTGTGAGATTTGATGGTTGTGGAACCAGCTGCCTGATGGCTCTTTTAACTTCGTCCCACAAATGCTCCATTAGATTGAGATCTGGCGATTGTGGGGGCCACCTAAGCAAGGTAAAGTCTCCCTCATGTTCTTGAAACCACTCCTGCACAATACGAGCACCGTGGCATGGCCATTGTCTTGTTGGAAGAAGCCATCTCCATTGGGATACGCCATCAACATGATAGGATGAACTTGATCAGCAACGATACTTAGGTATGTGTGCTATTCAGACGTTGTTCCACACAAATTAAAGGGCCCAAATCATGCCAGGAAAACATGCCCCAAACCATAACACTGCTCCCATCAGCTTGAAGGGTTGTACTTATGCATGTGGGGTGCATGCTTTCATGCTGTTTCTGCCAATTTCTCATTCTGCCATCTGCATGATGCAATTGGAAACATGATTCATCGGACCGCATGACTTTTTCCAATGTTCGACTGTCCAATCCTTGTGTTCCTGTGCGAATTGGAGACGTTTTATCTTGGTAACTGCAGACAGCAAAGGTGTTAGAGTAGGCCTTCGGCTTCCATATCCCATACAAAGCATTGTATGGCTAATTTGCCTACAAACGTCAGGTGGTCACAATAATCTGGCCACTCAGTGTAAAAAATCGATTGTATTTTTATACATGAGCAATGACAAATCAAAAAATTAAATTAAGAAAATTCCAGTTACAATAATATCAAAAAGTATAAAACATTAGGAGTACATTTAACAAAAGAAGGTCAAGACTTGCACATTGGAAACTATAAAGCATCACTGAAAGAAATTAAAGACCCAAATAAACAGAAACATCCCCATATTCAGGGACCAGAAGACTTAATATTACGATGGCAATACTCCCCAAACTGATTGTAAGATTTAAAACAATTCCTCCCAAAATCCCAGGTGCTTTTCTTGCAGAAATTGATGAACTGATCTTAAAATTCATATGGAAATACAAGGAACCCAGAAGAGCCGCATGATCTTGAAAAAAGAACAAAGGACTCACACTTCTTGACTTCAAAACTTACTACAACACTACAGTAGCTGTGATAGTGTGGTACTGGCACAAAGACAGGCATATATAGATTAAAAGAATAAACGAAGAGCACAGAAATAAACCCTCACATTTATAGTCAACTGATTATCAACAAGGGTGTCAAGACAATTAAAAGGAGGAAGAATAGTCTTAACAAATAGCATTGGGACAACTGGATACACCCACAGGTAAAAGAATGAAGTTAGGCTTCTAGCTCAAATCATATACAAAAATTAACTCAAAATGGATCAAAGAGCTAAATCATAAAACTGTTAGAAGAAAATAATTGTAAATCTTCGTGACTATAATACCAAAAGCACAAACAACAAGAGAAAAAATAGATAAACTTTATTAAAATTTAAAAATGTTGTGTTTCAAAGGACGTCATTAAGGAAGTGAAATTAAGGAAGCCTGCAGAATGAGAAAATAGTTGCAAAATACACATTTGATAAAGGACTTTATCCAGAATATAAAAAAACTCTTATAATTCAAAAGGACAAATAATTCAGTTTTAAAATGAGCAAAGAATTTGAAGATATTTCTCCAAAGAATATATGTAAATGGCTAAAAAGCACATGTAAAGATGTTCCACATTACTACTTACTAGAGAAATGTAAATCAAAACAACCACAAAACTTCTTCATATTCACTAGGATGGCTAAACAAACAAACAAAAAAATAGTACCAAATGCTGGTGAGGCCATGAAAAACTGGAAAACTCATTTATTGTTAGTGAAACTGTAAAAAGGGACAAACCATTTTGGAAAATGGTTTAGCAGTTCCTCAAAATATTAAACAGTTACCAAATGACCCACAAATTCCACTCCTAGGTATATAGCCATGAAAAATAAAAACTTATGTGCTCACAAAAACGTGTAAATAGTCATAGTAACATTATTCATTAGAGACAAAAAGTGGATACCCAAATGTTCATTAACAGCTGGATGAACAAAATGTGATATGCCGATACAATGAAATATTCTTTGGCAATAAAAAGGATGAACCTTGAAAACATTACGCCAATCACAAAAGGCCACAAATTGAATGATTCGTATACATGAAATGTCCAGAACAGGCAATCTATTGGTATAGATGGAAAGAGGGGTAGTGGCCGGTGAGTGGGGAGAGAAGCACGGAGAGGGGTTACTAATGGGTACCGGCCTTCTTTTGGGGGATGACAATGCTCGGCAAGCACTAATTATGGTGATGGTTGCCCAACTCTGTGACTATATATATAAAAAAACACTAAACTGAACACTTTAAAAGGGTAAATTTTATGTATGTGAACTATATTTTAAGCTACTTTTAAAAATGAGTTCAAAAGTGCTCAGATAATGTTCATATTTTAATAAATTGAAGTGTAATAAAAATATACATTCCCACAATATTAAAATAATATAAATTCACATTCACATTTGATTCTGTTAGTTCTAAGATATCAGAAATTAAAATTCCTAAATACAATGTTAGGTACATAAATACTTACAAGTAGTGCTTTAGCAATCAGCTCTCCACCTTTGGGCCCAATATCATTAAACATAAGATTTAAGTAAATGAGACTGTGTTGTTTCTATAATAAGGAGAGAAAAGAAACGGTTAAACATGTATTACTAAAAATCAATAATGTGTGAGCAGCTTTATTTAAGTAACAGTGTTTATGAAACAGAAAATCTTTATAAACCAGAAAATCTGAAAGTCTAGCAAAAGAAACTACGATTAAGGGGGAAAAAATCACTATTCTTATTTAAACATAAATATAATTGCAACATAGATGAAAGAAAAGGACTATCTTCAGTTTTGACCAATGATTCAAAGTATGAATGTGCTTTGTATATTTAACCGTAGTGTACAAGTTTGTAAAAGATGACTCAGCAGCTCTAGTTACCAGCTCTACTGAAACCAAATGCACAAATGGATTTTCAATATATTTTAAGTGTTGTAAATATATCACCGTCAGGACTTGACATTTTGCAGAACTAGCATTTTGTGGGTGTGCCATTAGACTTAGAGGTTTCGCTAAAGTAGAACTAAGAATGTCTTGAAGATTTTGTTGCATTTTTATTTGTGATTGCTGAGAATAACATGGTTTCTTCATTTTTTTAATCTTCACCTCTACACTTACATTGTGCACCATTTCATAGGTATGAGAATTTTAAGATCATTTTAAACTCATTAAAAGTGCTTTTAGAAGATGAGGTTGGGATAAGTAGTTACAAAATTAAAAAGCCAATATAAGGAAGAAATTAAAAAAAGATATATACAGCTTTAAACAGTTTATTTTCACTGACAATACAGACAAACGTCTCTTTGCTGGTCTTCTGAGGCTAAAACAAGGCCTTTTCTTTAAGTACAACCTCTCTGATTAGTGGACCACACTGTCTTTCTTACATAAAATGCAACCATAATGCAGAATTTCAGTTTGGGTGTCTCCAAAGTGAATCTGCAATAAAGGGTTAACTTAGCATGCTCAAACCCTGCACATTCCAAAGAAAGGAGTGGTTCTTAACTGACCCCTGAAAGAAAAAAAAAAGACAAAACATTTTGTAGTAGAATAATACCTGAAGCAGTTTTGCAGCATAGTATAAACCAGCATCACTTATGAGGTTATATCTAACATCCAAACCTGAAGAACACAGAGGAATAGAAGCTGATGTTCCTTATAATGGATTCTTAAAAGCAGGAAAATAAAAGCACCGGCAACCTAACTGGTTTGGCTCAGTGGATAGAGAGTTGGCTTGTGGACAGAAGGGTCCCAGGTTCAATTCTGGTCAAGCACATGTCCTCGGTTGCCGGCTTGATCCCCAGTAGGGGGAGTACAGGAGGCAGCCAATCAATGATTCTCCCTTATCACTGATGTTTCTCTGTTTCCTTATCCCTTTCTCTCTTAAATCAATAAAAATATATTTTAAAAAATAAAGCTCTGTCTTGAAAATTTGTTTAAAAATTTTTGTTTTTGTTTAAAAATTTTTAAAAAGCAGGGGCAAAGATTCTTAAGGAGGCCATAATTATATTAATACCAGAGGTCCAGTGCACAAAATTTGTGCATGGGGCGGGGGTGTCCCTCAGCCCAGCCTGCACCCTCTCCAATCTGGGACCCCTTGGGGGATGTCCAACTGCTGGTTTAGGCCCTGAGGAATTGGGCCTAAACTGGCAGTCAGACATCCCCCTTGCAATCCAGGACCACTGGCTCCTCATCACTCACCTGCCTGCCTGCCTAATGCCCCCAACTGCCCTCCCCTGCTGACCTGATTGCCCCCAACTGCCCTCCCCTGCCGGCCTGATCACCCCTACCCCCCTGCCAGCCTGATCTCACCCTTAACTGCTCTCCCCTGCTGGCCTGATTGCCCCTAACTGCCTCTGCCTTGGCCCCTACCACCATGGCTTTGTCCAGAAGAAAGTCAGATGTCCGGAAGATGGCCGGTCCACCCGGTCTAATTAGCATATTACCCTTTTATTAGTATAGGTATGGACCATACCATTAATATATGGATTCTTCTCTAAAGTTTTAGAAAGAATTAAAAAATCTTCATTTGTTAGTCTTTCCACTGGCATTGAGTGATTGTTACCAGCGAGGTTTAATGTGATTCCTCTCGATCTGTTAAAATACAAATAAAGTCAGTAATGAAATAAAACGATTTTAGTCTTCATGTGTAAATAGTAACTTCATGGATAGCATTTATCAGAACCAAATATGTACAGCAATATAGATTTACATCAAGTCACTTAAAACTACTAAATATTCCACAGATTTTGCTAAGCACATTAACAAATACTATATAACCTAATTTCTCTCTCTCACACAGAAGTATCCCCACTTGGTATGTAATGACATTGAAGACTCAATGATTTGTATAACGACCAGCAAATAGGAGTTAAGGACAAACCTGGAAACCCAGAGCTGGAGATTGCTGGTCTAGTGCTCTTCCCAGTATACTCCACTACCTCCAAGACCACTAACAGGGACAATCAACTACTTCTCTACCTCAAGACCTACTCACAGTGACAATCAACTACTTCTCTACCTCAAGACCTACTAACAGTGGCCATCAACTACTTCTCTACCTCAAGACCACTAACAGTGACAATCAACTACTTCTCTACCTCAAGACCTACTAACAGTGACAATCAACTACTTCTCTACCTCAAGACCTACTAACAGTGTCCATCAACTACTTCTCTACCTCAAGACCTACTAACAGTGGCCATCAACTACTTCTCTACCTCAAGACCACTAACAGTGACAATCAACTACTTCTCTACCTCAAGACCTACTAACAGTGACAATCAACTACTTCTCTACCTCAAGACCTACTAACAGTGGCCATCAACTACTTCTCTACCTCAAGCCCTACTAACAGTGGCCATCAACTACTTCTCTACCTCAAGACCTACTCACAGTGACAATCAACTACTTCTCTACCTCAAGACCTACTAACAGTGGCCATCAACTACTTCTCTACCTCAAGACCTACTAACAGTGACAATCAACTACTTCTCTACCTCAAGACCTACTCACAGTGACAATCAACTACTTCTCTACCTCAAGACCTACTAACAGTGACAATCAACTACTTCTCTACCTCAAGACCTACTCACAGTGATAATCAGCTACTCTGAATCAAAAGACATGTCCATTTTACCAAGCACTTGCAAATGGCTTTGAAATCACTCAGTATTCCAGGATTTTCACACAGATGAACATCACAGAATATTATTGATATAATCAAGTATTTTTCTTCCTTACCCCTTTTTGATTTCTTCATCCGCTCCTTTGAGTTTTTGCAATATAAAATCATTAACTTTCTGTGAATTTTCCATACATAGATAAGTATAAAGTTGCCAGAGGCTGTCAATAGGTCCTGGAGCTTTTGAGAAATAAATGCATTATCATTACCCTTCATCACATGTTAATTACCCCCAAGTCCCTCCTTCTCCGCAAATTGCACTTCTTCCAAAGATATGAATGTGTATGTACAGAGTCAGGTGGGGAAGAAAAGGAGACAGAATTAACAGAAAAAGAGGAGAGAAACCGAAGTTAGGAACCAGAGAGAATAAAAATGCTGTTTGGAGAACAAGGTCCACAGAAGCACCCACTGAGGGTGGGCAGACACTAACTTGGAAGTGACATAAAAGGAGAATTTACCTCTATATGTAACCGGCCTGGTAGCTGAGGAAATAATGCCAGAGAAATTAAATATTTTGTCCAAACTCATGCAGTTAATAAGGGCAGAGTACAGAATCAAACTGATTCCAAAGTTTCTTTTTCACCCTGCGACAGTGGGTTAAGGCAACCCTAGGTTTCTTATAATGGCTTCATATAAAGACAGTTTTAACCGAGAATCTACATTCAAAAGGGATCTGATTTATCACCAAGTCCCTTAAGCTGCTTCGATACCCTCTCCATACTCCGTGCGAGTTGATGGCATCTTGGAACACAGCTCTATTGCTTCTTCCTAACACTGAGTTGAGGCCACAATCATAGAAACAAGCTCTTCACGTCCCCTGCCTTGGAGCTCCCACAAAAAGGGGCCCAAGAAGAGCACCCAGTCACTCTCCCAGAGACCGTAAAAGCAAAGCCACAGACCGACAGAAACACCTGCCTTCAGGATAACCTATCGTGCAAAGGGCAGACCGGCCGCAAGACTTGGGGTCCCCTCCCGCCCGCGTTTGGTGGTGCCCCAAAGCTCCCGCCACCGCTGGGGCTCCCAAGGCACGCTCCCGCTACGCCGCCCCCCCCCCCACACCCCGCGCCCTTCCACACCCCCCCAAACCCCTTCCACACCCCCACACCCCCTTCCCCCCGTCCCCCTTCCACCCCTCAACCCCCTTCCACACTCCCCTTCCATACCCCCTCACCCCCCTTCCCCACCCCCACCGCGGAGCCTGCTCGGAGTAATCAGGGATGCCACCCCGCAGCCCGGGCTCCCACGCTCTTTGCGGGTTTCGGGCGACAAAGGACACCCTATTTCTTATTGCTACCGAAGGCCTGGGCCCGGTCCCAAGTAGGAATAGCGATCTGAGTGGGGGGCGGAGCTGGGTAGGGGTTCCTGGGCCAGGGGCCCTTCGCGGAGCCCGGCTCCATGCTCCTCTCTCTCGGCGGGCTGTAGCGGCGACGTTGTCATGGCGACCGCACGCATGCGCCCTGGTCACGGCGTGCTGCGTGGTGCCGGGATCGGGAGCGCGTGCAGGGAGAAGCCGCAGGACCCCGAGCGCCCCGCGCCTGGGATCCCCCGCCATTACTCACGTGGGCCGGGAGGCCTGGCTGCACAGGCAGTGGCTGCCCATGCTTTGCAGGCTCCATGGTCACCATATCTGGGTCCAGATCACGCCCTTCTCCTCCCAGGGGTTAATGTCACACCGAGGCTGGGCTCCCGGCAACTTTGCAGGGACCAGTTTTCCAGGTTTAGGAGGCACTGCTGCTGGGCTGGGCCGGGACTACAAAGATGATTATGACACAGTCGCCTCCCTGAAGTGTGCACACACCTGCGGAGGCCACGTGCAGAAGGAGCTGGTAGCAGCAGCACGGAGAGGGCGCGAAGCTAAGCGAGCATAAAGGGGCATTGCAGATCCATCTTTGAGAGTTGGGGAGAATCAGGGAAGGCTTCCTGGAGGAGGTGATGTCCTGCCTGGTGGAGTGAACCTGCTAGAGGGCGGAACTGCTTGGTGTGTGCTGGAAGAGCGCAGGTACTTGGGGTTGCCTAGAAGAGCACCGAGAGTAAGGGGGCAGGCAGAACGGATCCAGGTGGAGTCCTGTGCACCCTCAGAAGCACAGCTGTTGGCGAATGGATTTGACACATGGCAGGAAAAATGAGGTCTGAAGCAGCTGCAGTGACCCAGGAGAAATAATAAGGACTCAGCTAAGACTGGACTTGGGGGGATGAGGAGAAAGGGACAAAACCCAGAAATAGTTACAGGGTGACATAATCAGAATTTAGTACTTGAATATCGAGGGAGAAGAGGAAGGAGGGAAGGGGTGGCCTTCTGTTTGGGGTTGCTATGGACTCAGAAGGAAGTCCAAGGCCCTGACCAAGACCCTGGAGCCAGACAGAGACCCTCCAAGTGAAACCAGGCTGTTTATAAGCACAGTTCAAAGGTGAAAAGCAAAATGCCTGAATCCTCTCTCCCCCATGCTGTCCCACCAGGCAAGTCCAAACAGTGCTCTGCTGCCAAGAAATTGTTGTGCCAGACAAGGCAGGGGTCTCTTGAAACCCTGTGCCCACAGAATTGAAACATCACCTGAAATATCATTTCTTCAGGTTAACCATGATGATGATAGAAAACAATTATGTGTTCGCTTACCCTATGTGCTACCAACAAAGTTGGCAGGTGGCTTGAAATACCAAAGTGTGAGTGCAAGTACAGCACCTGCCTTCCCCTATGCCTCCCTTAAAGTGTTTTGAGCTAAGAAGATACAGGAACAGAAAGAGAGGTGGAGGATTAATTAATTGCTGCTCCATTGGGGAGAGAGGGATGGTCTTCCACGGAAGCAAGAAATGCAGAATCAGATTCTTGTTTTAGAGAGTAACTAATAAACAGGGTCAGGACAGAATAAACAGAAAAGGGCTGCTTTAACCAAACAACTTACAGCACTATTCTCCTTAGCTAGCTGCCTCGGCAAAACAAAAACAGTATTTACACAAAAATATAGCTTGCAGTGTCAAAATGCATGCTAAACAGATGGTCGAAAAGACACTGATCACATATACAACCTAGTTCCATCAGTATATTTCTCATGACTCCTCATGAAATGATTTCCAGATAAAGGAGGGATGTAGTTGGGTGGGAGGGAGAGATGAAGACCTCCCCTTGAGAAGCACTGAGGGGTAGGCAGGTGGGGGAGATGTTGCTGAGCTAGTTGGAAGGAAACCTAAGTGGATTCATTGGGTACTTCTGCGTTAAGAACCCAGAGTATAGGTCTAACTCGAATCTGAGATTTCTAGAAGGCAGAACCAAAGAGAATATATGAGGGTATGGAGTCCCCTGGCTTCAGTAAAAGGCAGCATTTACGTGTCTCTGGTACCCTATAGTAGGAAAATTTAGTAGGTATATCTTTATATAAGTAATTTAATGCACATGTCTTGGACTATAATTGTGTAGACGATTCAGAAATATTTTTTCAAATGATTATTCATTTTATTGTAATTCTACTTAGAAAGCCAACAGCATGGTATTTAATTATGGTAATAGGGTCTAGGCACGGTGTTTCCTGATAATATGGAGATTGAACTCAAAGGATCTGGGGGAATCTTTAACGTATTCATTAGCTATTTTCACAGCTATCAGGTGGCCTAACCGAGGTGCCAGCAAGCGCTGGAACAGAATAAATGCCTGGTTTGATTTTCTGACAAGTATCTAAAATACTCACTCCTGGTGTTGTTCGTGCATGAATGTTTAGGTACTGAATATGCAGATGGAAAATGAGTGTTTTGTTATTTTAAAATGATTTTGGCCCATGGATAAAGGAGTATGTTGCATGAAAAGTTGACATTCTTATTTTTTGATGAGATGAGAAAATATGTCAGTGCTTCATAGTGAAGTAGTGCCCCAAACTTTCCTGCTCATGATACAAATAACATTTTGAAAAACCCAAATTTAAAACCAGAAGAAAAAGAAAAAGAAAGGCTTGCTCAATGAGTTACTAGATCGATAGTTTGATGGTAGGGGGAAGGGACTGAGGGTGAAACACTTTTGTAAAATGGGTAAGATGCAACTTTTGAGTCTTTAAAGAAAGCAAGTGTGAGAAGCTATGTCAGATAAATAATTTGGTGACAGTGGGGATGGAAGCACACCTTCAAGTTGCTTGCTTGTAAAAAGTTTTCCACTGACGTCTGAAATCTATATGGAACTTTCAGTTCAGTATTAGCTGAAAGGAGACAAAATTTTTTCAAGGGATTTTATAGCTTCCAAGAAATTTTCCTCAAAGCAAAGGGTAGTGTTACTGTTACATGATTTTCTAGTCCTAGGTAATTAAGGCTACTTTTAGCTTGTCTGTATTAAAGGAAAAAGAGCTCCCAGGTGAAGTTATAAGCAAAATCTTGAAATGATTTTAACTAGAAATGTAATCAGAGACAGTCAGTCACTGACCATATTAACCTCAGGGCCCTTATTTTATCCATCCAGTTTGTGTGTAATTACACATGAAACATAAGTATCAACACTTGATGTAAATTTGAGAGGGCTGGTCATTTCCCTGAATGGTTTTCTTGGACATTAAAGTTACATCAAGAAGGGCTAATTATTAAATTGTCCAACCTTGGCTCTTTAAAATGATGATGCAACAAGTTATTCCACTTAGAAACACCACAGTAACATTGGATTGTAATAAGTTAATTTGACCATGTTCAGGTAGCAATTTCTAGGGGGAAAAATAGCCAATAAGGAATCAATCTTCCCCCATTCTCATTTACTGTGGCTGAATTGCTAACAAAGCTGTTGCAAACGCAGGCTTTACAACCAGTATTTATTTATTTACTTATTTATTTTAAATATTATTTTGTATTAGTTTTAGGGTATAGCATAATGGTTAGACAATACTTTACAAAGTGTTCCCCACAAACTTCTTTTATTAAATCCACTAATGATAATATATATAGCTTTCAGAGGGCCATCAAATTGGTTCCAGACACATATGTGATATCTGATTAAGGTGAGATAATATTTATACACACACATTCAGACATTCTAGTCAGGATTCATCATGGAGCAAGATGAAGGTTAGGAGAAATAAGTTCTTTTATGTGTCTGGAAGCCCAGACACACTGTGTTCACTCTAATCAGGATGGCTAGTCCACACACATTTCCCCCAGAGGACTTGGAAGGCTGAGAAAGAAAAATCAAGCCTGAAACCTCACGCCCAA